AGAAAAAGGTTATCGTGACAATAAGCATTACATAAAATTAACATTATCAATTATCCATGTAAATGATGTCAAGTTCAGATGAACTCTGCCACAAAGCCATGTACACCTTGCTATCATTCCATATATATTTTACCTACTGTTTATAGTATCTGAGACACACGAAATTGACCTTGTTCACTAATCCATCCACGAAATCCTCGATGTCAAGTGAACCCTGTCTGACGGACATGCAGACCTTGTAGGGATACCATTTACTGGTAACCAAATATAGTTATCATATAACTCATAATAAGTGGGACTTTCACATGATGACGAAAAAAACTATACGTTTTTAGCAGTCGCTGAACCATGAAAATGAGGTCAAAGACAATGATCATATAACAGACGGAAGTTCGTAACACAACACATGAATATATACAAGGTATGAAGCATCCAGGTCTTCTACCCCCTGAATATAAAGCTATACAAATACCGATAGTTTACACCGTGACAGTCACCACCATCATAGTCGGATTGTTTTATGTATGTTTCGAATTCTGCGACTTGTCTCGCAAGCGAGACAAAAATCCTGCAATGTGGTTTCTGAAAATTCAATCAAAAACATAGTCGATCCAATTAAACATCAGCTTGAAAAATATATATTTACAACAATGAGACTTAGAAACAGCAATAGTCTCCATTGACAAGGCCTTAGAAACAAGCAAAAGCCAAGGAACTAGCATAAAATACAGTGGCCAGTGGATGTACAATATTACTAGCTGAACTGGTGGCTATCCTCATGGACCTGGAGCACTGCATTGTCACAATCAGAGACCAGCTCACGGAGGTAAAAATACTTTCAGATAGCCAGAAATCTACTTATTACATCCGATAGACATCATTACAGATAAAAGGAAAGTATGGGGACACTCCTGAGAAACGGAATATCCACAACCCTATCTTGGACCCCAGGCATGCAAAAGATGCAGCAAAAGAAGGCTTCAACCTTTAATGACCAATACAATGTCATAACGATGTAATGTCAGATGTTAGAAGAGCGGTCAGGATGTCAACAAAAATGAAATGGCAGAGTAGATGGATCATAATTGAAACGGTAGACAACTGTATGAGCTGGTATTTATTGTTGATAAGGTTGTCAAACTTGATTACCCGAGTCCTGAAACATAACTAAGCGTTTGTAACAAATAACAAGTTACTGCAGAGATAAGCGTAAGCCACCAAATGTGAGCTCATCAAAGGCACGTAACTAAGAGAATCACCCAATGTGAACTCACAGATGACACGTCGTTTTAATAGAAATGCTAAGAAGCAAAAAATCCAATTCTACAATAAAAAAAAGAACGGAATGAATATAATATGTAGCAAAAGAGCTGCACATGCAAAAAAGCATGTAGTTAATCTATTAAAACGCAAATTATCAAATCAGGAATATATCCTGTTGGCGAAAGGCTTGAAATTTATACCAACGCCATCAAGCAAAAATGCAAAAATGTCTATACTAAAAGACTACATTAGACTATTTTCATATTACCGACTTTTGACACCGGATTTATATAATTTGTCGACTGGTTACCTTGGACATCATGGTACTTGGTCAAGTAAGAGCAACCAAAATAAGCTAAATCAAACATATAATCGGTGTAATTTGAGGGGAAAGTTTACTGTTTTCCGATGATTTTGTAGTAAAAAAAAATGTTAAGCAGGTAATTTTCTCCCAAAATTGTACCGATTGAAAGCTTGGTTTTACTTCTTTAGCTTGCTCTTACCTGACAACTGCGATGTCGGTATATGTTCAGTCATGAAGAAAAAAAATTGTAACCCAGTGTCTCGCCTACTTTTGCTGTTAATCGCAGGCTCAACAAAAATGAGGAAAAAATTTTATAAAAATATTCCTCTCGATATTATCTTTTGCATGTTTTGATTGTAAGAAGCTTCTGTCCAAGTTTGGTAAAAATCCAGAATAGTTTATGAATCTAATAAATGTTTTAAAAACATTAACTGCAGACTGTATGTAATGTTAACTGGAAGAAAAACTAAGTCCATTTATAAGTAAAATACAGAAAAACAGGTACAAAATTTTAACAAAATTTCCTTCTAGATACTAGCTTTTGATCATGTTGATCATAAATACGCTTCTGTCCAAGTTTGGTACAAATCCAGGATAGTTTAAGAAAGTTATTAAAATTTTAAAAACTTTAACCACAGAGTGAATGTTATATTTCCTGGCAGAAAAACTAAGTCCATTTATAAGTAAAATACGAAAAAAAAATGGAATTTTGTTTTTACTAAATTAACTTCTGGATACTATCTTATGATCATAAACAAGTTCTATCCAAGTTTGGTAGAAATCCAGGATAGTTTAAGAAAGTTATTAAAATTTCAAAAACTTTAACCACAGAGTGAATATTTGTGGCCGACGACGACGACGCCGACGACGGAATGTAGGATCGCTATGTCTCGCTTTTTCGACAAAAGTCGAAGGCTCGGCAAAAATTACCTTCATCTATTTCATAGCAATACAGGATATAAACCTGCTTCTACGTGCCATACGTCGGAAAATTACATCGATTTAACAAAGCTTGAATTATCTTTTCTAATAAATAAAAAAAAAACAATCTTACTAAGGGCGAGCGAATAGCAAGTACGCAATTTCTGCAAAAATGATGAAACAATAGTAATAAAAAAGGCAGATAACAATTCAAATTGTGTTATTTCAGACAGACAAGACTACATAACAGAAGTCACAAGACAACTAAATACTCAACATTACTGCCAATTAGATTCATTTAAAGGGGCATTGGTTGTCAAATTCATTTTCTTCGATTTGACTCAAATTCTCATATTTGATTTATAGCATACTAAAACATATATCCAAATTATAAAAAGTATAAAATAAACAATTTACAAGGCATGGGCTCGATAATATCTTTCATCGTTTCTTGTGTATTTTAGTCTAGACGCCATCTAATTAACTATCGAGTTGACCTCCGAAGACTGCCGACGGTCATATAAACATAAATATAGATATAAATAGATAGCAAACTCGTGCAATAGGATTTTTCTAGGTCTGTTTAATTTTATATTATAGGATAAAAATATATGATGGAACGTCAGATGAAATTGCAGATTCTTTTCGTCTAGCAAATAATTATAACCCCTTATTGAAGTCCACCTATGAAATCTCAAACGACAAAATGTCGTTCTTAGATGTTCATGTAATTAAAGGTCAAAGATTTACAACACATGGCATTCTTGACCTTGAAATAAATTTTTAAAGAAACAAATTCTTATCTCTATCTGCATAGAAATAGCTGTCACTCACAGCATGTATTCCGAGGATTTATTAAAGGTGAAGCAATACGGGAAATTAGACACACAAATGACCATAACAATTTAATAAACAATCTAACTAATTTCAAAGTGAAATTATTAGATAGGGGTTATGATAACGTCGAAATAGATGATAGTATTACTGATGCTTTATCAATTGACCGTACTGAATTATTACAGCAAAATAAATCGAAGGAAAAAGAAAATATTCCGTTAGTTTTGATAACTAGATATAACCCATATATGACACAGGTTATGTTCTTCTCATATATTTTATGATGGTATAATACTAAACCCCTAACATAGTCAATTTAGCTCTAATATCGCTCAACCTGCAACTAATTGCAACACAAGGTTTTTTTTAGCGCAAATTATAATATAGACTTGTACTAACAACATACTAAAACTATAGATTGATATAATTTGCGGAAAAGGTTATTTTGGGGTGAAATATGTGGTTTTTAGAGAAAAAAATGCTGAAAACTGGAAAAGAAGAAAAAATGTTATTTATGGTTACATTTTTATACCTAAAGCTTGTTGAAGACAGGAAACCTTATCTTAATAGACTATTATGTAGTCCTCTAGTTATTATTATTCATACTGAAGTAATTTTGAGGTGAAATGAGTGATTTTTAGTGAAAAAACGCTGAAAACTGGAAACGTAGAAAATCTCTGTTGTTAATGGTTAATATTTTTGAAATTTGATCTATATAGAAATTTTATGTTTTATTTGTACAGTCCTTTAGTTATCAATATTGATATTTGGGTAATTTTGGTTGAATATATGTTTTAAGACCGAAACCCGGAAAACTGGAAATGAAAATATCTCGGTTATTGATGGTTAAAACTTTCAAATTGGGATATTAACAGAAAATAGAGAATACTATCTGATGTTTATCTTAAGAAGTCCTATCCCACCAGGCATTTCAACGTTGTTTCAACGTTGAAATAACGTCGACTTTCAACGTTGAAATGACGTTGATTTAACTGTTGATTTTGAAAGTTGAGATGACGTTGAAAAGGTGACGTTGAAACAACGTCATATTTCGACGTTGAAACAATGTTGATTTTTGGTTGAGAATAGGTTGAAAGGTTGACGTTGAAACAACATCATATTTCAACGTTGAAATAAGGTTGATTTTTGGTTGACAATATGTATAAATAACAATTATTTCAAGGTTTCAACAAGGATGATTTTTGGTAGACTGACTGAAATTGAATAATCGATGAAAAGGAAAACAGTTGATTAAGGTGAACAGTATAAATTAGATGTGGTATGAATGCTAATGAGACTAACTTTCCATCCAAGTCACAACTTTGTTAAAGTAAGCAATTATAGGTTAATAATTGCCTTCAACAGGGAAAGACGTCTTGGCTCACACAACAGAAAGCTATCAAGGCAAAAATATCAGTGTTAAACAATGCAAACAGGAAAACCAAGAGTCTCATCTATATATAAAATGAGAAATAAAAAAATACCTATTACAGCCATCGGACTTAAAGTGTAGGTAAAACCAAACTGTTTGATTAGCTTCCATGCTACATGAACCACAAGGTCATTATTAGCTCATGTACACCTTCCAAATATGGAATGAGTCTTGCATGAGGATTCTAAATAGGTAAAACTGTAGTACAATGTTTATGTTTACACTTTTTTATTGGTTCTCTGACTGACTAGACTCCGCCCAAAGGAGGTATTAATCCGAGCTAGTAATGACTTCACGGTTCAGCTAGCAAAGAAACTACTGTAGATACTCGCTTATAAGTCAATCTGCCTATAAGTCGGATGCCCTTTTCAGTTTGAAAATCTGAGGATTCAGGCTTGACCCGCCTATAAGTCGGTCTGAATTGAGGTTATTTATTTTAAGCAGCAAACAGTAATTTATCGTCGGTAAATCAAGTTTTGAGTATTTTTCTGTAACTGTAGTTACACACAGAAATAGTGAACTGATAAAATAAGTTCTTTCAGAATTTCACTGATGTCTGCTCTAATTTTGGACACCTTTCTTGATTGAAGTAAGTGAAATGAATGCAATAAATTTGTTTAAAATTGAATTTATTTTTGTAATTTGGATTAATCTTTGCTGGTCCTTCCCCCTCCTCCAGCTCTCTCGGGGGCATATTTTAAAAACTTCCCAATATCTTCCTTTACTTTAGTTTCTGTGATCTCAGGATACACCATCATTACGCATCCTGAAAACACATATACATCATGGTAAGTCTTAAAATATGTATACTTCAAATCAATTATTGTGAACAGTGTCATTTGCCAAAACTTTGCACACTCAATAAAATATAAATAACACAACAAGTACTTTGCTGAAAATGGAGGGTTGATGCAAATAAAGCTTACTGTAAGGCTTCTAGTGAAGTTTAGAATTAGTTGGTAAAAAAAAACATACATTGAGTAAAATAAATGAAAAATATCATTGTTTATAATTTATATTCCTTGCAATAAATTTATAACAATTTCTAGATAGAAATATGCCACCAGGCTGAAAACATTTTGTTGAAATTTCAATTTGTTTCTATACAGGTCACATTCAAAGCACCCATCAAGTCCCTAAGAGCCTGAAATTGCTAACCCTTCTATCATCACATACTTATTTACACTTATTTATCAAAAATAAGAAGCCCAAATTACAATTCAAATAATATTCCTTGGAGTTTGTAAGTAAGCTTGCAACTAATTTCATTTTTGATTGATATCAATGCTAAAAAAATCCTGTTCAACAACATAAACTAATTACTTGAATAAAGTGAATATTTTTTTTATTTTCTCTTTAATTCATATATAAAATAATCAAATTATATCAAAAAGATAATATAAAATATATATATAAATGCTAGATAATAGATCATCTTTACAAAACTTTTACCTTCCATGGTGGCAATTTTTAATTTTGAATTGGCACCTGTTCAAAGTCTAGTTTCAATCCATTGAATGCATGGTTTTTTTAAAGTTTTTTTTCAAAAGTTCAGCAAATCAAAATGTCTATAAATTAATAATGTTGTCATGTTTATTGATTTATCAAAGCTTACCTGAGATCACTTTGTAAAGCTTTGTTTTTAGGAAAGCTATCTTATTCTTTTTCCCTTTTAGGTTCATTCTTGCCATGACAATGTTTGACATCATTCTGGAACACAAAATATAAATCTGATACAATATGACCACTTAATTTCAACCTAGTTCATTTTCTTAGGATTGAAGTTTAAATATTTGAATACAGGTTTCTACTGCTAATAAAAACAAGTGGACACAGATGAGTGTGGATAGTATTATGCATTATAAGAGTATTGCATAAAACTATGAGTTAACTCACTAAGGATACCCCCATCCCGTTATGCCACATATTGTGATATTTAAATTAAGTAATTGCAATTTCTCCCTTGAAAAAAATCAGATCAGAAATATCCTCCATCATGCACATCTTCGGGTTGTGTACAACAACTGTGTAAAGTTTCATCAATATTGATTAATTTGTTAGTAGTTGTGCTTACAAGACTTGTTGCCATTTATTGCAATATTAACTAAGTAAAATCAATTATCTCCCTTGAAATTCTGACAAGAAATATTTATCATATATATCCCCTAAATTTTGTTTTTTCAGGGTATAAAAAAAACAAAATTTGCATACATATTAAAAGTGAATATGCAGTTTCAATATCTAACTACATTAAAATAAAATACCCAGTATAACATTTTTTCTTCAACCTGGTTACAAAATATGTCAAAATAAAAGACAATTAAGGAAGTGCAATTGACCATTCTATTGAAAGGTTGATATTTCTTTCTTTTCAATATTAACTAAACTTGCTAAGCTCATACATAACAAATGCCAGTTAAGGGGCAAATTGAAGTTCAAAGTAATATGAATTTAAACAAGTGAATTATTCAGTTTCAATTGAGTAATACATTTAGAGAATTTATTAGCTCATTATGACAAAATGTAAACCAAACTGACTGCTAATAGCGAAATATTATTTTAAAATTCCACATAAATGTTTGCCAAAAAAATAATTTAATTTTTATAAACTCCAAAGCTAGTGCCCCTTAAACACAATGAATTACTTTTTCAACTGGCATTAACAGAATTATTTAATCTTTTCGACAGACTTTTGTAAATAAATTGTAGTCTCTTTCAACTTACCTTGTCATGGCTTTCTTCATTAGGTCACTGCTTCCAGCACCTCCAATTCTTCTCAAATATTCTGTCTATAAACAAAAATGGTTTTTGTATACTTGTATGCATTGACTGAAATTAACAATGACCCTTCAAAACAACAAATGTGTCTGTGAGAAATTAAAATTCTTTATGTGCTTATTTTTCCGAAAAATTATCATTGTTAATATGTATCACTTTCCTGTGCAAAGCATAATTTTCATCTGAAACTAATAAAAACAAATAAAATAATTTAAAGGAGAATCATAGTAAAAATGTCTAGTTTCAAAAGAATCATTATCAAGCATGTATTCTGATAATTATTTTTAAATATTATATGTCAGAACAAAACATTATATTTATTAAAAAACATAAACTGTAATATAAAACTAACCAATCTTGTCTGCTGAGCTACATCATCCAAGGCATTTTCCAATTCAAAAAATTCGTCTAAGGTTTCCGCCCTTTCAAGTTCACAGTGTGTCTGTGCAGTTGTGGCACACTGATTTTTTTTCAGCAGGTCTCTTATTTCTGTTAGTAAAAACAATACTCTTCTCTGGAAACCTAAAATGATAAAACCAATGTATGATTAATGCAACATTACAATGCCTTGTCTTAAATACCCAGTATATTCAATACATATATATAGTAAGGGTGTAAATGTGACATGTATTATATGTAAACAAGAATGTGTCCATAGTACAAGGATGCCCCACTCACACTATCATTTTCTATGTTCAGTGGACCGTGAAATTGGGGTCAAAACCCTTATTTGGCATTTGAATTAAAAATATATCATAGGGAACATGTGTACAAAGTTTCAAGTTGATTGGACTTCAACTTCATCAAAAACTACCTTGACCAAAAACTTTAACCTGACACAGGACAGACAGATGAACAGACAAACGGACGCACAGACTAGAAAACATAATGCCCCTCTACTATCGTAGGTGGGGCATAAAAACAATTTCTATGCAGAAAGCTCTCATAAGAAAAAAATTAGTATTTTCAAAACCTTTCCTTAATAAATATCAAAATAAAACTGAAACATCTAGGGTTAACCAACAATTGAAGTAGTAGTTGTGTGGTGCAGGTAAATATCAAAATAGTAAGGCATGTTGAAGGTATTTCCTAGTGTTTGATTCAAAATTTTGTGTGATATCATTTTGAAATGCAGATGTAAATTTACACTTACGTTCATCAGACATTGGAAATGTCTCTGAATTGTTACTCGTCTTTCTGCCAGATGGTATATTTTTTGTAGCTGGTGTTGAAGTATTTTCCCTGACATGAGACCTTGAGCTTATGTTGCTGCTGAATGACTGCCAATCCTCTAGTGGTGATCTAGACCTTGCTCTGTTGTTGTTGGTAGAAACTCTCTGTGGTTGAGATTGTGAGCTTGGCAGTAGATAATCCTCAAGAGGTGAGGAAGATCTAGACCCTTGACTGTTCCCTGTTGAATGTGACCTATCTTCACTAGATTTTGATTTCTGAGTATGGAGACTATGTGAGGATCTTTTTTTCAATTCTTGTAATATCTCCTCTATTGAAGGTCTTGTGGATTTTTGAGTTGTGTTTGACGGTTTTCTTTGTGATGGATTCTGTGTTGTTGGTGATCTTGTTGTGGACTTGGACGAATAGGAATAAATAGATTTTAGTTTTGAAAAAATATCTGTCGGCGGTGAATAGCTTCTTGATCTAGATCTCCATGTCTGATTGTTTGGTGGAGATCTAGATCTTGACCTCTGAGATAATGGTGGGGATCTTGATCTTGATCTGGACCTCTGTGTGATAAGTGGTGATCGAGATCTTGACTTCTGACGAAATGGTGGTGATTCTTGCCTGGTAGATGGTCTTGTTGTGGACTTCAATGTATTTGTAGACTTCAATTTTTTTGATGGCGATCTAGACTCTCTGTGGTTAGAAGTCTGACTGGAACTAAATTTTTTTGATGGCGATCTAGAATCTCTGTGGTTAGAAGTCTGACTGGAACTCTTCTTCTCTGTAACTATGGAGTTAAAAAGAAGGCAAACAATTATTTCTTTTTCCATTTAAAGCAATCATATAACAAAAGCACATAAAAAAGACAACAGGAACAGTTTACGTCATAAATAACATTTTCTATTACAATTCATCGAAACATGCCTTTTTCTCCTAAAAAGCAGCCTTCACAAAAAACATTTTAAGATTATTTCCTGCTCCGAGGTTGCCACTAGTCCTATGAACCATACTAGTAAATATTGATTTGGACTAGTACCAATTTCAAAAATTTAATATAGGCATATAGGGACAAATTTTGATATTTAGATTTCGTACAAGTAGATGAAAAAGTTTTTGGCACAGACTGTGATAATATAAGGCAACACCAAACAGTAGTTTTTTAAAGGTGGCCCCGTATGGATACAAACATGTACAGTGAAACCTGACTAAACCGAACCCTGACTAAACCGAAAACCTGTCTAAAACAAACTTGTTCTGAAGACCAATCATATCACATTTTATGCATTATGAACCTGATTAAACCGAATACCTGCCAAAACCGAACAACATATCAAGTCCCAAAGAGGTTCGGTTTAGTCAGGTTTCACTGTACCCTTAAAATAGTTTATTCAACAGGCTTATTCTACTAAAGGGCCACCAATTTATTTTTGGTAAACAGAAGTAAATTTGATTGAAAATTTAACAACTTCATATTTATTGATACCCAGATCTAGTTTTCATAAAGATAATTTGAAAGCAATGGACTCATTAGACAGCATACTTCCACAAAAAAGAAAACACAATCCTCTAGGCATCATTTTGAATAATCTATTCATTTAATAATACACCTTTTTTATCTCTGGTGGCAACCAATATTTCACAGGAGTTAACAAAAAAATTTAGTTCAATGTATATTTTAATTAAAGCTATTTATCAAACTCACCCAATTCTTTGCACTGTGCGTTTCTTTCAATTAACTTTGTGGGAGGCTTCGGCATTGATGAAGATTTTTCTGAAATTAAGTGAATAACTTAAATTATGCTTAAAATAACATCTTGTATGGTGTGTTATTCTTTGTTGAATTGACATTAAAGGATCTTGTACATGCATGTATCATAATTACAAATGTATAACTCTATGACACAATTTAAGAAATGAAACCATACACTAAAGTTACACACATAACTACGATAGACAGTCATCAAACTTCAAATCAAATGCTTTAGACAATGATATGACAAAACCACAATTATACTGCTAGTTAAAATTAGTAAAACAGAAACCCTTGAACTGATTAAGATAACCTTGATTTTTCAATGGCTCAAGTCTCGTAAGTTTGCATGTCATGAAAGTCTAGATTTTAATTTAAAAAGCATTTTTCTTCAAACTATAACATTACTCAAGCATACATGTATATGTATATATGTACTTATAACATTTAAAGTCTTTAACTTTAACAAATATATAATCATGCACAAATTTTAAGCTGATTTTGTTTTCCTTACCTTGGTTTCTTGGAACAGTAGCTTGACTTTCACCCTTATCCTTATTTTTTCCATTTTTAGATGCTCCAACTACAATAAAAGCAGTTTTACAATGTGGTACATTTTAAATTAAACAGAAAAAAACAGGGTTCAACATTAACTTTTCTCACAACTACTTGTTAGATAGAGCAAAAAACTTGTCTGAATATTATTTATAACATTGATTTTAAGCAGCTATTTGTTGACATAAAATAATAAATTAGGTAAAAACAAATGAATAGCGAGAGAGTATTTTTTGTACCTGATTTATCAGTAGCTTTTGTGCCTTCTTCATTACCAATTTCTGAAATATATAGAAAATATGGTAAAATTATTTATAGGTAAAAAAAAAAACCTGGCAAAATGTTTAGGGACATCGGCTGAAATAAATGGAGTCCAAAGGTCAGCAAAACATTTTTTGTGTGATCTGCAATACAGGAAATAGCCTTTAATCTGGTTCAAAAATTGATCCAGTATTGCATTTATATCCTCTTTGAGAAAGAATGATCATATTGATCCTTATTGTTATATATATAGCAGCATCCATATATTGATTTACAGTTCCAGCACTTTTAATATGTCTGATACTTAAAGTACACAAAATAAATTGGACTGACAAACACATTCTCAGCAAATGGCAGACAACTGAAAATTAAAACTAATTTATAACATCATAAGTTGAAATAATATCTTATCAATGAATAAATAATTGATGGACTTCTTAGAATGAGACACATAATTTTGCTCAGAAGAAAAACATTATTTTTTTCTCTATTAGTTAATAAGTATCAATATAAATACTGGAATTGTTTTTATTGTTCAAAAGATATTATTTGATTTATGGCGACATCTATTGGTAGAAATTTATACCTGTAATAAAGTCTTGGAACACTTTTTTCTTAAGTATCCTTTTTTTCCCATGATCACTATCAGCTTCATCAGGAGATAATTCAGCTGTAGTGGTAAAGTCATAATCTTCACATTCTTTTCTTTTGTCTGTAAATATATCAAAATATAAAGTTCAACATTTTTTAATACATAAAATTTTCCAGAAATAACCAAATGTTTAGATCAAAATAATTACAATAACTAGTAAAAAGTGCACCCATCTTTTAAAACAATTTTTTTGGCATATATAAATAGTTTGTTAGTTGTGTATTTTTTTCTATTTTGCTTCGAGTGGATCAATCCTCATGGTCTGGTATACATTAGTGTTTCCAGGCCTGCTCAAGCCCAACTCTGGGTACAGGTTTTCAAATTGGTGGTCTTGGGTTGTTTTATTTTGGTAGAGTTGTTGTCTTTTTGACATATTCCCTGTTTACATTCTTTATTCTAATATGGTTTAAATTGAAGTAGACGAACAGAAAAAAGGAAATACTTTTTTTAATGGTCCTTTCAAACATTCTGATTAAAATGTAGTGTTGGTACTTTCAGATTTATAATTGACTACTAAAATAAAAGTACATGTATAACAGTTTTTGAAAGTTTAAGGTCTACAGAAGCCACTCAATCAACACCTTAATCAGCATTGTAAAATTTTAAACAGATTAAAAAAGGACAAGAGCTTTCAGAATTGTGTTTATTTGCAAATTTGGTATATATATATGCATGATATAAATAAAATAAATTTATAATTACTAGATTTAAACTTGATTTTTACCAACTCAAACTTCATCCAGTTGTCACTTGGTTTTTTCATCTCTTTCATTAACCTTTTTACATTGGTGCCAGGTGGCCACATGATGTGTTTCTCTCCAATCCAAGAGAGTGGTAAAGTTCCCTCCTCCTCTTCACCCTGCTCCTTCCAAACAGCCAACGCCCATGTTGCTTCACTATTTTCCTATGAAAAAGTTGTAATATATGAATTAACAATAATATTGTAACCTAATGCTACAACATGCGTGAAAATGTACCATGATGCTTCATGCACTAATTTATCATGCTTGAGGATGCACAAAATTAAAATTATCACATTTTATAACATGAATTTTATTATATTTTGTTCTTTTAAAGAGGGTGTTTTTCCAACTCTCTAATGTACCTTAAATGCATTAAAAAATGTTTAATATTTCACAAAAGGAATTTAGGCCCATTCTAGTATTAAAACATTCTATGTTTTACATTCAATAAACCTCTAACATGCATTTTGTAGTATTAACTTGTAAATCTATTTACACCATTACACATTAGCTTAAAATATGAATGTGTATATGTTATTGAATCTTTACCTAATGTCTCTCAATACCATGCAACATAGGCATCAACAGGTACCCTCCTTCATATGGCAAGCAAACAACTTTTCTTTCAATGTCAGCTTCTTCCACCATTTGCCTTGAAGCATATCTTTCTATGTTTTTAGCAACAGCAATGTTAATCAATTTGGAATCACATGGCTCCTTGAAAAATTGTTCAGTATATTGTGGCTTTAATATATCACAAACATATTTTTTTCCTGGGCGTCGTTCTCTGACAAAGGCGAAATTCTGATTCCAGAGAAGAAAACAACCATCCTTTTTTTTCATGGATACATACATAAAGGTCTTACTATGAATACGACGAATATTAGACTTTTCTGCCTCTGTCAATCGCTTGACTACTTGCACAATAGGGTTTTGTCCATTTTTAACCTTCTTTTTAATCTGGTGTAAATAATTTTCAAACTGAAATGCACTCAAATCGTTGAGTGATGTATCATAGTTTTTTACGTCATCAGTAACATGGACCAATGCATGAACATTATAGGAAACAAATGTATTTCCATATAGAGTTGTGGCATTCTTCACATAATATGTCATAAGTTCTTGGGCATAATCCAAGTAGGCATTTCTGGTTTCTTTAATTGAGTCTAAAAGAATGCTTAAGGCCACGGTCAATGTTAAAAAATGGTTGTACATAGCCCTAGAAAGAACAGACTTCAGCACTAAGGGCCCACTGTACAAGACAAACTGTCTGAATTCTGTTGCTTTCCATTTGTCCAATTCAAGAGAACGTGGCTGTCTAGCAAACTCCCTTGGCATTTTCCCACGGAGGTTTTTTAGTTTGTCTGATATCAATTTAAGTTGTTGTTGTGACAACTTGCACTCCCTTGGACCTTGCTTCAGGAACATAAGAATCCTCTTCACTACACCTAGACAAACTAAATGCATGTAGTCAAGTGGGAAGGTATTTATGCAAAACAGTCCTGCATCTATTAATGGTGAGCGTGATGTTTGATGGTTGCTGTATAGGCATGCTCTAAATTCCTCCTCAGTTCGCAATGGAGGACTGTTATCAGATGAATTAAAAACAACACGGCCATTCCACTCACCCCTAATGGTACATCTTTCACAGCTGTAGTAACCATTGTGACCTACAGTACATTTTATGAAGGACCTGGCTGGAGCATCACATATAAAAGCATTTAATTTGACGGTGTATAAAATTTCATTAAAAGTTATTCCATGCGTTTTTAAATTTTCCAACTCTCCTAAAAAATCTGACAAATAAGCCTGCACAGAATTTGGCTTGGAATTTCCACAGTATAAAGCCACTATAAAAGGTTCATATTTTGACAAACTGCATAATATAGGCCAAAACTGTGTGTTTGATGATTTAAAAAGTGGGACACCATCAATGTTAAAATCTAACAACAGCTCATTATTTCTTGTAAAATGTCTTGCGTTTTGAGTCAAAATTTTTAAAATACCACTTTCAATTCCTAAATATATATAGTCACCTCCACATTTTTTATTTATATCGATATGTCGAGGAGTTTTTAACAGTGTTCTAGAATCCTTTGGAACGCGGTGTCCATATTTTCTAAAGATAAATAACAAAGAATTTAAGCCATCTCTTGATGTTTTGTTCTCAGTGGCCCAATCAGCTAAATCTTTACAAAGATCATTATTATCAGAATCAGATTGTTCATCTTCACTTGATACTCGGCTACTTCCAGAACTATCATTTTCACTACTCTGTTCTTCTTCACTACTTATTTCTTCATCATTACTGCTTTCGACATTATCACTACTCGCTTCATTTTCATTGTTGCCATATTCATGATTAATATTAATGTTACTGCTCTGACTTTCAGACAATTCATGCATTCTATCTGAACCTTCTTGTACAGCTGATACATGGCTTGACACACTTTCCTCATCATCACTTAGGCAAGCCAAGTTTTCTACCTCAGTGTTATACATTCTCCATCTTCTAAGATATGAGCGCTGTAAAAGGTTTGAATTTTGTTACATGCATATGTTTATACATGTTATATGTTGTGTTAAAATTCCTGAATGTTGATCATGCATTTCGTTTGCCCTTTAATATAAATATGATAATCCATTAGGCTAGACTTTTTATTGTTTTTCAACGACATAAGCCTACCCTAAGTTTTGGAAAACCAAAATAAAATAGACTTTGTCAACTTTTATATTTACTTTCCCTCCTACCTGCCTACCCTATGTTAAGAACCAGAAAAAAATAATCTTGAATGAGAACCGTTAGTTATTTTGCAGGTTTTTTTTTCTAATCATAATTAATTGTATTTTCATTTTTGGAACCAACTGAGCACAACTTTTGACTTTTATTTCTATTTCGCCCAAAATTTTCTCTCTTAACAAATAATAAAAAAAGTCTGGCCTTAATTAAGTCTGAAAATTATCTATTTAATTTTAATAATTGTTTCTTTGTGACATAATGTTCAGTGGCGGATCCAGAGGAGGGGGGGGGGGGGGGTTCCGGGGGTTCGCACCCCCCCCTTTATTTTGGCCGATCAATGCATTTGTATCGGGACATATATTTTGCACCCACCCTTTTGAAAATTCCTGCATCCGCCCCTGATGTTTCATAGATTAGGCAAAACAAAATAGGGTATACATGTAGGCTGGGCAGAAATTTTAAAATTAATATTCTTTTTTATCAAGTTTCAGATTGATATTAGTATATATAACTGACAATTCTAAGATTATTCTTGATAAAACCATTTTGAAGATATGCTCACATTTATTTTGTCTCTTATAGATCCACACAATGATAATTTTCCAGCAGCATTTAAAATTTACAATAAAATGAAGGGGGGCTTTTGGGTACATTTTAAAGACTTGGGTAACCATTTTAATTTTGACTAATATGTGGACAATTGTTGTTATTAAAGGATGACTTTATAACATATTATTTTTTATATAGTTTCCTCAGAGATTTTCTTGGTTTTCTATACTCTGGCTTCAATCATAAAAGTTTCCAAAAAATACAGCAATCAAACAAAAAACTTGATATAAAAAATGGCCCATGAGGCTCTGCTGCATGCATGCATTTAGGTTTACATGCATAAGAATAGAAAACAGTGATTCTGAAGTAAAATATATAAGAGAACATAGTTTCCATGTTCCCCACGTTGCAAATAATTCATTTATCAAATGTTACAAATACAGATGGCATCACCCTTTTTTAAAAAGTCAAATGGCAACCATTTTAGAATTGTTAGAGATATTGCTGATATTATTTTATATAGAATTTGTTTTATAAAATTCTTGAAAATTTTCTATTAAAAAAAGTGATTGGTACCAAATTTTGAAGTTGTCAAGAGTCATGTGAATTGTTGATATAAACCTATGACATAAGTTTCATAAAATTCTGGAAAGAATTGTACAAGTAACTATAAACAAGAGGCTCTCAAGAGCCTGAATCGCTCACCTTAAATTATTTGTTTAAATCTTTCATCAATGATTATTTTGGCTTTTTAATTTATATAAATATATTCTTGAATCTGGTCATATCTTCTTCAAAAGCAAAACAATGCATTTTACCCCTATGTTCTATTTTAGCCAATACAGGCTATGTTTCTTGACGTACAAGGAAATAAATATAAAATTTATACTAAATACTCTGAAACTCGTTTGGCTGAAATTTATTCAGCAGTTTCAAAGGAGAAGATTTTTTAAAGTAAGCTAACAAGTAAAAGAAATTAAGTAAAATATCTTTAAGTTTTAAGGACAATAAATCCTTAAAAGGTCAATTGACAATTTTGGTATTATTGACTTATTAGTAGATCTTATTTTGCTTAACAGTTTTACTGTTTACAGTTTCTCTTTATCTATAATAATATTCAAGATAGTGATCAAAAACTGCAAAATTTCCTTAAAATAACCCCCATGTTCTATTTATAGCTATGGCGGTCATGTTTGTCAATTGATCAAAACTTGTACAATTTATAAAATAGATACTCTAAGGAACATTATATTAAAGTTCCATATATATATAGCCTAGTTTGTTTATTCTATGGGGTCAAATATTTCAGTATCCTTAATAAACATGATTGTGACAAAAACATGTGACATGCATTCTCATGCAACATGCCAAATAGCAGTTATCTCCTCCCTGTAGGCTCCTCTGCAAAATGGATTCATCTCTGAAATTGAGAAACCATCACAGATGAATTTCTCTCTGCGAGTGCTATATTTTTATAATTGATTTAATTTAATACATGTATTTAATTTACAGACTTTTATTATTGATAAGATATCAACATCCAACGCTTAGTGAAGCCATGTTTTTCGGTTTTATAATTTAATGCTTAAAAAAAGTAATTTTATAAACTCACAGGTAGATCTCTTCCATTTCCTTCTGCCATCCTATTTTATAATGGTATATCCAGACTACTTATAATCAAATAACCAACAGACTATAAAACCTGTAATGAAACAGTGAAAATAGTTATACATTTTTTAATCATTTATTGCTAACTTCAATGTCAGTTAGCTATATAGTTGGTAAAAAAATTTAAATAAAATTCAAACCTTTGGGTAAAAATTTACATAAATTTATAAACTGTCGATTATATATCCCTCTTAGGAGACCAAAATATCTTTTCTTGACATCTATCTGACCATGCTACATGTAGCTCCTGGAGACATTTTGTATACAATGCATAACTTCAAAGCATATACAGGTACACATGATGGTGACATCTGTAACTAAGTGTGCACCAGCCCCTATTTGTAGTTACTTATTATTTCAAACTGCCAGGATTTGAAAAAGTGTCACTTGTTGTTAAAAGCAAAATACCAAAATAATGAAACCACACCCATTAGTACATTTTTACCTTCTTAAAAAGGTTAAGAATGACCATCTGAGACAGACACCAACCTTGTGAGGACCTTGCCACCCATCATCATGAGACAGACAAAAGTAAATAGTGTATTCACTACTTCTGTCAATTACAAGTGCATGGATACAATAATGATGAATCTGACTAAATATATACAATTAACATGAATTAAATACATGTACAATAAATCTTCGATTCAGAGTCTAATTGGCACTCATACCCCATCTTCTTTTGTTCAATTTATATTATTTACATGAATTTTAAAACAGTATTTGTTCACTCAATTTTATTTGAAGTTGCCAAGATATACAAAAGCATCACTCGCTACTAAAAATAAAATACTAAGATTACCACTACTGCTATTTTGTAAGAATCAAAAAGGAAAATCAACCCAGGTTTCCATATAACATGGTGTATACACTTACAATGTACATTATTTCACTGCATTGAGTCTTGGACATGATGGATGGATTCGTTGTCTCATTGGCATCGATATATACCACTTCTTATTTTTATATGTACAGGATATTGAGTACAGTAGAAATAAAACTCTGTATTATATATCTTTATATATATTTTACGTGGTATGGGTGTGCCGCAAAACAGGGTCCCTTTTTCTTTCATGCCATGCTTTTAGAACAGGGTCCTTTTTTCATGTCCTGTTGTTAGAACAGGGACACTTTTTAAACATACAGTCTAGAACAGGATCGCTTATGTAAAATAACAGTCTAAATATCTTAAACAGGGTATAAATGTTCTGAGTGTGTCTAGAACAGGGTATGTTTTTCAATATTTTCTGGTTAGAACAGGGTCTCATTTGGCAAGTGCTATCGGCACAGTTATACCCAAAAAGATGGTCAGTAGGCCCCCCGGGTGGTGCATTCAATCTTCAACACTGAATTTTTGTTAATGGCTTTATCTCGGCCGCACTGTAATAAAAGGGACAAAACAGACTACAATGTGATTTACTACATAAATTACATTTGTTTACAAATGCAAGAATATATGTTAATTTTTCAACTAGAGAAGTCATGGTCACTCTTCAATAATGACTACATGTAGTCATGACAGCTGTACAAGTTCCAGGTGATTTATGTTATACAGTTATATACACCTTATCGTTATTCCCGGCTGACCCGAGAATCTGTCCCGCTTGAACTTTTGACGTCATACAACAATCACTTTTCCATTGTGGCGTCAGATATTTTGTATTGTGACGTCAAAATTTTACGGGAACCTGTGTGATGTCCAGTAATGGCGGACAAATAGCGATAAGGTGTATTCATTAATTTCTGAAAAAAAGTTTAGGATTCAAAACGAGGTCCTTCATCTTACTTTTTCATTTTTTTACATCATCTGGTTAGAATATATTAAGCTGGTCCTCGACCGACTACTACACTCAATGACTTAATTAGTTCAAAGACAGCGTAAATACGAGCGTTTTATTCTCAGATCTGCAGTGACATCACAACATGTAACTGACCAATCAATGATTATCATTTGTGTTATGTAAACAATGTTGAGAGGTGATGCCAATAAGAATCCTCTAGATTTTCCATATACTTCAATGCAAATTAATTTAATTGATATATATTGACACCAGTTGAATATAGTAATTTTACTCTTTTAATATTGTTAAAGACACTATATAATATCTCCATTTTTATTTTTATCATACTATATCCTCTGGTTAAAAAATAATCGGCAATATAAATAATCAGTAATCACCTTCAAATAGATGAAAAATCTAGAGGATTCCTATTGGCATCACCCCTTGAAAAATTTAAATGCCAGGATGTCCGGATCTGAGAATATTTGATCATATTTAGCGTGTCAAATTTTTGTTTATAAATTTACCTAAAATCCTTACAAATGCGAACATACTTCCGGTTTTTTGTTCCGTGTCAAAATTCACCTCGTTTTTTTAAATTAAAACATAATTTCCATACCCAGAAGCAATCTTATCTGAATAAATATGAATTGATTTAATTACGTTTATTTAAACTGACAAATTGTGTTGGCTAATTAATAATTTCTTTGAATGACAGTTGATTCACCTCAAAATGTCCACCATGCAATAATATATATTTCCTGTCGCGACTAAACAGTTTATCTAACTGATGTTGAAAGAATAATATATAATTTTTAAGTATGATAAAACAAAATTTAAAGTATCCATATATTTGTAGACAAGTTAATATATACTTACAAAACTTCTAATACAATCTTCTTCTGGGTGATGTGCTGTTTTGGATTTAGGAGTGACTTGACCAACGTTAGTTATTAGTATTTAAAAAATTGTAATTACTATAATTCTTGTGTAAAATGTGATTAGTAGAGAAAAACTGTGAAAAATGGAAATAAAAAACTCGATTATTCATGGTTAAAACTTTTAACATACTATTAGGATCTTAATAGACAGACTATATTATCTTATGTTTATCGCATATGTATTCTTCTTGTTATCGATATCAATAACAATCAATTTGTTGTGTGAAATATTTTGTTTTACACTAACTACAAAACAAGAATATATCCATAGTACATGGATGCCCCACCCGCACTATCATTTTCTATGTTCAGTGGACTGTGAAATTGGGTCAAATCTCATATCATAGGGAACATTTGTACTAAGTTCATCAAAAAATACCTTGACCAAAAACTTTAACAAAAATCTTTAATCTGAAGCAGGGCAGACGGACGAATGGACAGACGGACGAATGAACAGATGCACAGACAGAAAAACATAATGCCCCTAAGTGAGGGGCATATGAAATGAAAATTTTAAAATCTTGGTTATTTTTAGTTTGATTTTTAAAAACGAAAAAAAAAAGGAGAATGGAAACAGGGAATGTGTCAAAGAGAAAACAATGCCACTAATGGGTCTTTAACATAGCAAGTAAATCCGGCACACGGAGGTGATTCAGCTGATCCCTTAATTATTTTGTACACTAGTTCAGCAAAATGAACACCACCCTAAACTCCAGTACATACAAATGAACCAAAATTATCACCAAAAAAAAACACACACAAGACAAACAAAGGCTAGAGGTTCCTGACTTGGGATAGGTGCAATAATGTGGCAGGGGTAAAACATGTTGTGTGAGAACCCAACCCTCCCCTAGTTTCTCTAGACAATATAGATCAAACAAACACACAGTAAAACTCAGTTTTAAATATGTGCATTTCGTGGAAGGTTGAAAATCTATCTTATGTTTCGGTTATGTATTTATAGTAATTATACGTGTAGGTATAATAAACAAAAAATGACTGTGTTCAAAAATAACTGTAAATCAGTTTGGTTACTGACTTTGTCATGTTAATTGCTGGAAAAGTCATTTTTCTAGTGTCCTTGCATCGTCATTGACTTTTTGTGTATTTTTCATCAGCTACTTTTACAATATTTGAATTGCATAAAGTCACAGTTAAACACAGAGGATGTGATTGCAGATTTCTCTTAATGTGTTGCTAATTTTATTTAGCAAGCTCTATCAAAATCCACGTTTAATTTCAGATATATAAGCTTTTACAATTTAGGAACATAAACTAGTTCACTGAATTAGCATTAAAAGAGGGGCAAAAGATACCAGAGGGACAGTCAAACTCATAGATCGAAAATTGAATGTAGATCTGATATTGTTTAAGGAAATTTCAAGAACAGCTTTGTCAATACGATTATAAGTTTACCTCAAGAGCTTGAATTTAAATAGTAATTGTACTAAAGTGGTCCAATTTTGGATGTTGAAAATGAGATAAGCACTGTTGAATGAATTAATGGGATCACTTCCTGGAGGAAGTGTTAATAGCAACAGCGCCTTATGTGTGTACCCTATAAACCTGCATGTATGTGGTGGTCTGAAACATCAACCAAATGGTAACGACAAATAATTAACATGGGTTGTCTGCTATATGAAAATATTATGGTCAAAGATATATATATATATATACTTACTAGTATATAAAGAAAAGCATTACCAAGTTCTTTATTTAATATATCTCATTGAATTAATTTAATAAAAGGTAATTTTTTTTACACTAAGAACTGTAAAAAAAAAATGATCATGCATCATCTGTGTATGAATTAAAATTTGTAGTGTCTGTGGGCGACTTTGATGGCCAGAGATAGCGTTTAGATAGTCATTTCTAATCTGAAAGTATGTCTGTTGGTTTTTGTTAGTCGTTTGGGTTGCTTTCTCGTTGACCCTAAAAAACCTCAAATCTCTCTTTATTCATAAATATACTCTATTACAGATATATCAATGTTAAAGACGTTGTTCTCTGCTTCCGGAATGCTGACCTGTATTATTTAGGGGCCGGCTTAGGACCACCTCCTGGTGCGGGATTTTCTCGTTGCGTTGAAGACCCATTGGTGGCCTTCTGCTGTCATCTGCTCTTGATCTGGTCGGGTTGTTGTCTCTATTTGACATACACTTTTCCCCATTTCCATTCTCAATTTTATTTAAATAGCAAACAACGTAAGAACAAATTGTAAAACCCAGTTGGAAAGGGCTCAACTCAAAAAGATCAGCACAGAGTATATAAACAATTAACAAAAAGACACTGAGTTCTCATAGCTAGTTCAAAGCTTAGTAATTACAGTTGATGAATAAATACTGTTGGCACCGACTAAAATATAAATAAGTACACATCCTATTAGTAACCAAAGTGAAAAGTGGATTCAGAGTTACAGTCAAAGCTTTATTTATATGGTGTGTGAGTACTGAGATCGTCGCAAATTACATGAGTAGCTATTTGCTTCGAGGAGCCTGAAATATATATTTGTGAAAAAATATTTAACATAAAATCATTTAACACTCATTATTCTTATTTTTTTATGAAACATTGTTGGATTCTAAATCTTAACATGTTTGTTCCAGAAGGTAAATGAAAAAAATATATTGTTTTCTTTCTAAAGTTCTGGAGAAAAAATACCTTAAAGACTTTGAATCTTGCAATAACATTTTTTTATAAAGAACAAAACATGTGTTTCTGGAACTCCTCCCCCAACAAAAAATAAACTGTCTGTGCCTTTAACATAGGGGCCGAATTCTTTCAAATACCAAGTAAGAATGTGACAAAGTTGGTTACTCTATTTCAGTACAGTTTTCCATTTGTAGGTTACTTACCAACACTATTTTGGAGAATTAGAGTCTTGGATTGTAAAATAGCAGAACACAATCTCGGTCTATATTTTTATTCAAATATACAAATTTTGAGACAGGAAAGTGATTCATTTGTAATATTATTCTTTTAAATTAAAATAATTATGTATTGTATTGTATTATTTCAACTGTTTTAAAAAATACAGAACATTTTTTGTATAATTTAATTTTTTTCAACTTTGGCAAATAAGGGGAAGCAACTCATATAACCTTACTTTTACTACAAAACATTTTTATAAATTACACCACTTTCCGCTAAATATATTTTTGTATAGTTTTAGTATGTTGTTCATAGATAGTAACAGCCTTGTTTTTTAGAGAAAATCTTTGTGTTGCAATTAGTTGGAGGTTGTTCACTAAATTGACTAGACTAACAGGAGGGATTGTGCCTGATATTCATATGATGAAGACATAATCTTTCAATCAGTTTAATTGAGGTCTGGAGCTGGCATGTCAGTAACTGCTAGTAGTCTGTTGTTATTATGTATTATTGTCATTTTGTTTGTTTTCTTTTGTTTCCTATTCTGACATCGGACTCCGGGCCTTCTCTTAAACTGAGTTTTACTGTGCGTACTGTTGTAAGTTTGTTTTTTGACAACTTACAAATGTTAATATCTAAATAATATCTCTAAATTTCACTTGTATCAAATCTTATAAGGCTATATAAAAAAAAATCCTTAGAATTTCGAAATTGTATATATATGATCATATATAGCTAGCCGTGTTTTATTCCGATAACTCCAAATCGATCAAAATATTCCATTGAAGAACCAAATCGATCAAATATTCTATAATATGTAGACTGGGCTTAACTGGAATCCGCATGTACCATACTATTACCGTAGTGATGGAAAAAAAGTAATCTGTTTTCAATCATGAATATGCATTTTCTGGGCGGGACCAATGGAATCTCAACCAATTGAAACTTCAACTGGGGAAAGCAGTCAGTCGGCGTAAACGTGCTATATAATAAATATACACAAACATGCAATCGATCGTCAAATATTTAAACTTTCGATGTGCGCCACATGAAGAAATAGATCTCCGAAGAAATGGCAATTGGATTTATAGGGGCTGGCAGAATGGCCCAAGCCATGGCAAGGGGATTTATTGCAACAGGTAATTAAGCAACGTGTTATTTTATGACTTTTAATTAAAGGGAAATAAACCATCTTATTTTTACTACAGAATCAGCTGATTGAGATTTGATGATGCAATGTTTCTTTGTGTCTGGGTTTATTTCTAGAAATTAATTTTATGTGGCAATTACAGTAAAAACAATACAAAATTCATTTCTATTGGAATAAATTTCTGTAATAGCTTGTATATCACTATATGGTCGTATATTCCCATGACCATGTCCAACAGAAGGAGCGATTTATACATGTATATTTCAGAGGAAATAGATAAGACATATAATTATGTTGATTCACAAAGGTTATTGACCTAGTATTCAAGGATTTGTGCTAATACTATTGATCTTTTATCTCAAGATTGACATTTAACATAAGTACATTTTGTAGATGTAGTGGTTGATTAGTACATTGTAATATTTACTACTGAGATTACTTCAAGGTTTGGATGGGGTTTACAGAATAGAGAATAATGGCCCAATTCTACAGAAAAATGGACCAAAAAATAAAGAATAGAGAAAAAATGGCTGAAAAATTAGAGAACAGAGAATTTTGGTGTGCTAATTTTATAATGGAATAGAGAATAATGTCATAATATAAAAAATATAAAGAATACAGAAAAATGACCTAAAAAATTAAAGAATACAGAAATGGAGAACCCCCATCCTGACCCACATTACTATAAAATGTTATAGTAATGTCAGATTTACTACAAATAAAAAAAAAACACAAGTCTCTGTTAACTTATTTGAATAAGATTTAATCTACAACAACACTCTTATCATGCTTATAAGTACCACTGAATAAGTGGGGGAATGCTGTGTGACCCCTCTGAAGTGTCTGCATGAGTTCTTGGTTTTGGTGTTCAGTTTGTGTACAGGGGGGGGGGGGGGGGGGGTCCAAATATACAAATTTGGGTACAGACTATCAGAAATACAATATATGGCATCTTAAGATGTAAACCACATGCATGGTATCATATATATATATTTAGTAGTCCAGGGGTTCAAATTAGTGTGGATCCGATGTCTGGGACCTATCTTTTCTAGGAGAGGACTTTTCATTTTTAAATTACAAAAGTCAAGGACCTACCATTCTTTACACTGATGCTTGTTACACGACCATTGATTTCTTATGGTGGACCCTTCACTTAAAATTCAAATGGTCCTGAACCTTTCATTACTTAACATGCTTAAAGCAAATTTGGAACCCCTGATTAGATAAAAAGATCAGTACATATTTTTTCCAGACATCTTAACAGAAGATAAAGATTTATGATCCATTGACATATAAATTTCTACCCATGGGATATTACCTCCGCAACATTGCACCCCATTGATATGTTTGGCATTACAAAAAAGTGACCCAATACCAGTAGCATGTCTTTGTATACCTTTGTATTCATGAAGGAAGAGTAACCTTTGTGGTTTTGTGTTACTCAATCTGAAATTTCTGTAGTTTTTGTGGAGTCATTGGATATGCTTGCCTTTTTTCTTTTGACCTGATGATCAGGTGCTGTCATCTAGCCTACCTTTCTTTGACTGCTTTTTAGCTCACCTGGCCTAAAAGGCCAAGTGATCTTTTCTCATCATTTGGCATCCGTCGTCCGTTGTTGTCTGTTAACTTTTATAAAAATCTTCTCCTCTGAAACTACTGGGCCATATTTAACCAAACTTGACCACAATCATCTTTAGGGTATCTAGCTTTAAAAATGTGTCTGATGACTCAACCTGCCAACCAACATGGCTGACATGGCTAAAAATAGAACATTGGGGTAAATAAACTCATCATAGATACCAGGATTAAATTTTGCATTTACCCCAGACGTGCGTTTCTAATACAAGTTTGCCTATTGTTTTGAGAACCACTATAAATAAGGAAAATCTGACAGGAACAAAAATGTTCAGGATGTTGAGCTCTACCTATTGGTAATGAAAGTCAAAACTGTCAGACAATTTCTTATAGAAGTTATTGCCGGCCTTAAATGATGAATTTTACCATTTTAAATTTTTTTGCCTATTATCTTGAAAATTATAATAGATAGACAGAAACTTTAAAAAGCAAAAATTATCACCAAAACATGATCAACAAATGAGCCAACATTACCCTTTAGTGGCGATTTTTTTTCCAATTTTTGGCATTTTTGACTTATATCTTAAAAACTATATTATATAGATAGAAACTTTCTATAGCAAAAATGATCAGCAAGACAAGATCTACAAATAAGTCAAGATGACAGGCATTGTTAGCTGACTCCTTTTTGAAGTTATTGCCCTTTATTGACAACTTTTCCCCAAAAAAGGAGATTTGTTATGATTGCCTAAGAGATAACAATCCGACATAGTCCAAATGATGTACATGGAATTCAGCATCTACAGGTCACTTCAACAATGAGCATAACCATATTTTATAGGCTCCAACATGACAAATTATGTGAAATATATAATGACTTGATTTATGACCCAAACAAAGGGGCCTCGGTGGCCAAGTAATCAAACTACTGTATCACTAACTGGTCAACACTAAGGTTCATGTGAGTGTGAACCCTGCACGTGGCAGGTGCGCTTGACTCCAATCTTAATTGTCTAGGATTGTTTTCCTACTGAAGGTCATGGTTATCTCCAGGCTCTCTGGTTTCCTCCACCAATAAAAACTGACTTCCATGAAGAAGCACAATAGTGCTGAAAGTGGTGTTAAACAACTATCAATCAATATTGCAAAACCATATACAAAAAAGGAGTATGGCAAACAGCAACCAACTATAAGTATACATATATTAATCAGCTAAGCTAAAAAAAATTAGTATTAAAGAAGAACTTATTACTATATAAGTTAACAAATAAAATAAATACATAAATAGATAGATAGATCAATAAATAAATAATTGCAAAAAATATCAGATTGAAAAGTTGGACAAATTTATATGATGCAATATCTCAATATTTTGACTTATAAATGATTTAACTTGGAACATATGCAGAACGAATTACAGGAAGCTTAAGTTAACACATAATTAACCTAACATTAATTCTGTAAGAAAGATGATGCAATACAGAAAAAGCCATTATGTAGGTTAACTGTAAAAAAGGTTCATTGATCTGACTCTTTGTTGTGGCGTTGATATCGTTTATAAAGACTCATACAATTTACTGTTTTGATAATGTGAAATTCAAAAGGGTAAAAATTATCACTTTTTTACACTTGAAGGATAGGAAGAAAAATATTACTATGTTACGCAACATTTAATGTATTAATTCTGTTTGTGGCTCTGATATCAATAATATTTAAAAGACTCATACATTTTACTATTTTGATAATGTGAATTATTTCAAAAGGGTAAAAATTATCATTTTTTTGTTGCACGTCTTAAAGGGTTAGAAAAAAAGTATTACCATGTTAAGCCAAATTTGATGTATCATGGTTAGATTTCTAGGGTTTCCCCTTCCTTTACCTTCCAACTAATACTGGATAAACCCCCATACAGACCATCATTTTCCTAATCACTTTTTAAAAGAAAAAGAAAATTAAAAATTGAGGATTTCTTTCCCTTCTATGTGATGTAATTTAAGTGCATTTAATTTCCTGATTAATAATTCCATCTCAAACAACCTGTGTGAGCAAAAACAAAGGCCTGAGCCTTTCGGTTAAGACCATGTGATATCTATTCAATGAATTATGAATTAAATTTGTTTGAAGAATTGTGATAATAAGTTAAATAGTTACAGGAAAAAAAATTACTATATAACATGTAACATCTGGTATTTGTATAGAAAAGAAAAATAATGGCATGCACAACTTTACAAACGGATTCATCATCTTTATGCATAGTACTATATACATGTGCATGTAAACAGTATGTGTAAAGAGTTTAAGAAATTGGAGTTAAACTGTATTTTCATGCCTATTGTGGTACATGTATTTTCCTTTCGTGATATATAAGGCTAATAAGATGGGAGGGGATTGGTAAATTGGTTAGTTGAAAAAAAAGAAATATATACTGGTTATTCATTCAGTTTCATAGAATCTTTTCAAGGTTCTAGCTGTGCATTTAAAATGGTTTTCTAAATCTTCAGAATCATGAATGAATTAATGGTTCTAAGTTGCATTCATGTAAGTTTTGAACAATTTAAATAAATATGTTAAGGTATAAATATGTTGCCTGAAATGTTGAATAAGATAATTAACATATTTTTTCTGTTAAAAGCAAAAGAACTTTTGAACAGATTTGCCCCTCCATAGGAGTACCCCAAATGACCCTCTCATGTAGTAAAATTTTGATTTAAGGTTTATTTAGATTGTTTTTACTTGAACTGTACGTTGAAGGTACTGACATATAGGATTTCAGATAGTATTCCAAGCTCATATTGAGTGGAAGAAAAGAAAGAGACAATTCCTTGTTTCCTCCTTATTCATCAATAAAATTGAGAATGGAAATGGGGAATGTGTCAAAGAGACAACAACATGACCATAGAGCAGACAACAGCCGAATTATCTCCCTTTTGTTAAATAATTTGTATTTTAAGGCAGTAATTTATTGTATCAAATGACTTTCTTCCAGCACAGGTTTTATAGATTATCGATGGTTTTTCAAACAAAGGGGTGTTTCTCAGCTACAATCTCATGGAAGAGCAATGATATAGCCCTGAGATGAGATGTGGCCAAGAAACGTCCTCGAGTTTGAAAGACCATTGATAATCTGTTTATTGCTATTTTGCCTATGACTTTGTTGATGTAAATAGTGACAACAGCATGTGCACCCTTAGTTTCTGACGATAATTTTCAAGTGGAAGCATGACATGAAAAATGATCACAAAAACAGATCAAAGGAAAAATACACAAAATAACGATAACATGAATTATCACTATTTTACGAATTTTTCCTTTGATCTTGCTGACCGATAATTTCCGTTCTCAGCGGAGTTAAGTGATATGAAAACGAAATCGAGTGATATGAAAATTATCGCTAGAAACTAAGGGAACATGTGCCGTTGTCAAGGAAATTAACAACGTCCTCATAGGTAAAATAACAATAAACAGATTATCATTGGTCATCTCAACTCGATTGCTTTCTCACTTTCGCCGTACCGGCTCAAGCGAGAAAATCAATCTCGTTGAGATAACCAACGATAAACTATAATTATTTGATAACTCTGGGAATAGTATTAGTAGACTGTCAATATATTATGTCCCAGGATGACCTTGAATTTGTTATCTGAACTGTAATCTGTGCTCTAATTTCAGGACATGTATACATGTATCTTTTGCTATGTTCCCCAGCCCAGTAGTCAGCACTTCTGTGTTGACATGAATTATCATTGATTTGGTCATAATTATGCAAATTAACTGTTTTCAAAACTGAATTTTCGAAATACAAAGGATTTGCTACTCCAGGAATAGATTACCTTTAAGCTGTATATGGGAAAACCTTTTGGAGCTTTGGGTCCTCAATACTCTCCTTGGTTTTTTATATGGCCTTTTAAATGTTTTTGATTCAAGCATAACTGATGCATCTTGTAGCACTTCTGGCGTACAAATATTAATCCTGGTATGTATAAAGTTTATTTTCAAATTATATTGATCCAAATCATCTGTGCTCTATCTTTATAGGTGTTATCAAATCACAGAACATTATAGCGAGTGATCCAGATCCCAGAATGCTGAAGTTTTTAAAGGTAAGTACCGGTAATTAAATCCCAAATATTTTTCATTAGAATCCCTAATTTTGATTGGCTGACAACAATCATGAGGCACAACGATATCAAGTTGTATTTCCGTATAGAATACAACAAATATCATGACTGCATGTACTATCCGTGACAATGTTAAAACAATGCAAAGAAAAACAATGTAAAAACTTGAACTAACTCTTAATTTAATAGTTGTAGCATAAAATGTAATTTTAAGAATTAAATGCTTCTTTTGATGCCCTCGCTGTGGCGGAGTAGGTATTAGGTTTTACCATTGTTTGTTTTCATGTTAACATCTGTCCATATGTCCCAAAATTAGTTTCCATTCTCTAACTTTAGTTTGCCTAAACCAAATATTACGAAACTTATACATAATACTAAATACCACCAAACACAGATTAATTTTGAATTTGGGTAGCATCACTTTCACCATCAAGTTATGTCCCTCTATAAATCGAAAAATTGTTAAATTTGCCATTTCTGCACTCTTACTTTAGTTTGCCTTAACAAATATTATAAAACTTTTACACAATGCTTAATACCACCAAACACAGATCAAGTTTGAACTTGGGTGGCCAGCCTCACTTTCACCATTCTTGAGTTATGTCCCTTTATAAATCGAAAAATTGCTAAATTTGCTGTTTTCGCACTCAACTTTAGTTTGCTGAGCAGTGAGTACCAACTGTTATGAATCCTTTACACAATGCTTGTTACCACCAAACACAGATCAAGTTTGAATTTGAGTTATGTCCCTTTATAAATTGAAAAAAATGCTGAATTTGCCATATATTTATAATTGGGGCATCTGTGTCCCATGGACACATCTTTCTATTATTCAATTTTATAGGGTTGATCCTGCGCAAATTTTTGAATGAAGCACTTCCACGCTTCGTACAAAATGTGCTTTGGTCAATGCTTTTACACCCCAATAAAATTATAAAAGAAGCATTCTATGTGTAAATAAAAATGTAATGTGTCACAGTTTAAAAAAAAAGAAAATTTACACAGATTTGATAGATGAGGGTCTTGATGGGGTTTAAAGAATAGATAATAAAGGGCAAAAAAAAAAATTAGGAATAGAGAAAAATTGTTAAAAAATTCAAGAAAAGAGAATATTGTATGGGGTGCTAAAACATAAAGAATAGAGAATTATGGGCAAATAAAATAAGGAAAAGAGAAAAATTGTCTAAAAATTTAAGATTGAAGAAAGGAAGGTAAAAAATAATCTCTGGTAAAAATTCATTGCACAATATTGAAGCAGGCAAAAATTGTTTTTTCTTCACAGAATCATGGTATCACAACAACGCTAGAGAATACAGAAGTTGTGGATAGGAGTAAAATGATAGTTATAGCAGTCAAACCCAACGTTGTATCTAAAGTACTCAAGGAGGTCAAAGATCATGTGACAATGGACAAAATAATGGTATCCATAGTAGCAGGAGTTCCCCTGTCTATATTAGAAGAGGTATATAATATATCCAAATTTTGAAAATTTATATTTTGGGACAGAAAGAACTGAAAATAAATGACTTTGCACAAGACAGGATGGAAATGAATATTCTGCAACACAAAATGCAGGAGTTTAATGTGTACAAAAGTGAAAATAAATTGTTGCAGGGAAAACTTAAGCATAGATAGCAACAGAAGAAAATGAATGATCAATCCGGAAAAAATCCTACATTTCAGAATCTAATGCCTCTGTGTATTATTATAAGAGCTTACACCAGAAGATTGTTATATGCTATCAACATCCTAAACCAAGCAAATTAAACTTATGATGTGACATTATTTCCATTTTGTAGTACAAACAATGATTGTATAGCCCATATTTTATTTTACTTAGTTTCTTCATTTCTTTTATATTTTGTATATAAGAATTAACCAGTTTCTAAAAAAGAGACAGGTAGAGTCATTAATATAAACTTGGGTGAATTCAAAAAAAATATTTTCTTACAGAATCTACCTCCTGATACCAGAGTGGTTAGGGTGATGTCAAACATTCCCGTCACTGTACAAGCAGCAGCGTCTGTGATATCTCTTGGTGCTGGTGCCCTGCCAGATGATAGTGAACTTGTCAGGGAACTGCTACAATGTATAGGGATTTGTGAGGAAGGATCTGAGAGTTTGTTAGATGCAGTGACAGGACTGAGTGGAAGTGGGCCTGCATATGTAAGTATAAATTTTTATGCCCCACCTACGATAGTAGAGGAGCATTATGTTTTTCGGTCTGTGCGTCTGGTCAAGGTAGTTTTTGATCAAGTTGAAGTCCAATCAACTTGAAACTTAGTACACATGTTCCTATGATATGATCTTTCTAATTTTAATGCCAAATTAGAGTTTTGACCCCAATTTCACGGTCCACTGAACATAGAAAATGATAGTGTGAGTGGGGCATCTGTGTACTATGGACACATTCTTGTTATAGACTTCCGTAAATTCAGAAATTATTGCGAGGTTTTTATTAATGCCAATAATGTGACAAGGTAAGTATCCCAACAACAAAGAACTCACATTCTGATATCTGATACATGTAAATGTATCCAGATTTTTCTGAAATCGCAATAATTAATCTATATAAGAATAAGATGTGGTATGATTGCCAATGAGACAACTCTCCACCAGAGACCAAATGACATAAAAGTTTAGAACTATAGGTCATCAAACGGCCTTCAACAATGAGCAAAACCCATTCCATATAGTCAGCTATAAAAGGCCCTGAAATGACAAATGTAAAACAATTCAAAGGAGAAAACTAACGGCCTGATTCATGTACAAAACAATGAACGGAAAACAAATATGATATAGTCGCCATAAAAGACAACCATTGAATTACAGGCTGCTGACTTGGGACAGGCTAATACAGAATGTGGCGGGGTTATCTTTGTCCATTCTTCAAAAGTCCCAATAATAAATGCATGCAATAATTTCTGAATTTACAGTATTTTCATATTACTGATTTTGTCGTGTAAAGAAAACATTAAATGTTTTCCACAAATTGCACTGATTGAATGGATTGTAAGCTAGATTTTACTTATTTTAGTTGTTCTTTAGAATGTTCTACCACAGAGTAGGTAACCTGAAGAAAAGTTATGTACTCCTGGGTCAAAAGTTGTTAATATGAAAATTGTCTATTATTTTGACCTAATATTGATACCGTCTGCTATGAGCACATATCATTAATCTCAGTTTAAATGAAGCTGCATGTATAAAAGTACAATTAATGCTATAAACCTCTGAAAATCTTGCGTTGCTATATGAATATTTTTTTTTATTTCAGGCTTTTACTGCAATAGAATCTTTAGCCGATGGTGGTGTGAAGATGGGACTTCCAAGGGATTTAGCAATTAAACTAGCTGCTCAGACATTACTGGTGATTTTTTTTTTTACTGTAGTGATATAATTAAGATGTAAAAGCTGTTAAGGCTGTTCTATTGTTCTCCATTCTTTATATTTTATAGCAACCCATTATTCTCTATTCTTACTTTTTTTGCCTCTTTTTCTCTTTTCTTTGATTTTTTGCCCTTTATTCTTCACTGCTTGCCCAATATTCTCTATTCTGTAAACCCCATCCAAACCCTAATCTATGGAAGCAAATAATTTTATATTTGGTCTGGAATTGTAGTGTTTAGGTAATTGTACGTCTGCCAAGAGCCACTGCCTGTTAGCTGATAGTTTAGAATTTCACATCTCTCATTGTACACAGAACATTTTCACCATCTTTTCTTTTATTATTTGGAAGGGAATGATTTTATAATTGGTCTGAAACTTGGTTTTTACATCTGCCGTGCAGCCACTTTGTTTGCCAATAGTTTGACTCATTGTCCAAGGAAACATAGATTTTGATATCATCTTTAAACAAGGGATTATTTGAATCTGGAAATTTTGAGTTCTGGAAAATTGATAAGAAATGTATGCAGAAAACTAACCCAACTAAATAGGGTTAGCCATGTACGCATGGCTAAGGGGGGTAAGTTAGTTTATGCTGAAATATCAGTACCCTATTTAGTTTGGTTAGTTTTCATCATACTTTTCTTATCAATTTTCCAGATTTCAAAATTATTCCAGATTCAAACAAACCCCTTGTTTTTATCAGTAATGCTTCAGTACACATGTTACCTCAATCAATTACAGACAGCAATGTGGTCTTGTTTCATGTAAACATGCAGTGTTTTCTATATCTAACAAAAAAATTCTGCACAAACTTCTTCTAGGATATGTTCTAAACTTGCAATGAGGAGCAAGCCTCTTTTTTCAGGCCTCACTGATCTGGTCTGACTTCTTTAAGACTTGCTTAGGCGTTTGGACAGCACATGGCCCAAGCCTGTGCTGTCAAAGGCCATCAGTGAACAGATCAATCTTGAACTAGGTGACTTAAGATGAAGAACAGCAATAAAAGTGCTGCTCCTGTGGTTTGGATTTTGTCTAATGGATGTAGGGATTTGTGTAATGAATTAATCTCCATATCACTCCTTTTTAGCTCATCGCCACTAAAGGGCCAAGTGAGCTTTTGTCATGACTTGGCATCCAACGTCGGTATCTGTCAGCGTCCGTTGTTGACTGTTAACTTTTACAAAAATCTTCTCCTTTGAAACTACTCGGCCAAATTTAACCAAACTTAGCCACAATCATAATTGGGGTATCTAGTTTATAAAAATGTGTCTGATTACCCCGCCTGCCAACCAAGATGGCCGACATGGCTAAAAATAGAACATAGGGGGTAAAATGCAAGATTGTCTATTATTTTTTATATTTTATAAATAGAGAAAATCTGACAAAGCAATAATGTTCAGAATGTTGAGCTCTACCAATTGTCAAAACTGTCAGACTACTTATCAGAGGAGTAATTGCTCTTTAAAATGACAAATTTTACCATTTTTTTCATTTTTGCTTATTATCTTGAAAACTGTAATAGATAGAGAGAAACTTTAAATTGCAAAAGTTATCAGCAAGATAAGTTCTACAAATGGGTCTAATGGTCAAAATCGTCAGTTGACTCCTTATTAGAGTTATTCGCCTTTGATGATGATTTTTACCAAGTTTTTGTGTTTTTGCCTTATATCTTAAAAATTATAATAGATAGAAACATAAATAAGCAAAAATGATCAGCAAGACAAGTTCTACAAATAAGTCTAATGGTGGAAATCGTCAGTCGACTCCTTATTAGAGTTATTGCCCTTTGGTGATAATTTTTACCAATTTTTTGCGTTTTTGCCTTATATCTTAAAAATTATAGTAGATAAATAGAAAATTAGACCAGCAATAATGATCAGCAAGGCAAGATCTACTAACAAGTCAAATTTTGCCGATATAGTTAGTAGACTCTTTATAGGAGTGATTGCATGCCCTTAAATGAGGATTTTTTTTTTACCCTCTTATGTGTTTTGAGCAAAAACTAAGGAAGATATAGAGAAACTAAACTGAGTAAATGATCAGCAATACAAGATCAACAAAACAGAGATTTTTTTTCATGAATTCTATTCTCGTCTACAATGATGGAGAGTTTCCTTTGTTGAATTTGCAAATAGACCAAGGTGAGCGACACAGGCTCTTTAGAGCCTCTAGCTTATTATTTTGAATGTATATTTTTTATTCTATTGTCAGGGAGCTGCTAAAATGGTTTTGGAATCTGGTAAACATGTAGGACAACTAAAGGATGAAGTCTGCTCACCAGGGGGCACCACAATAGCTGCAATGCATTCTCTCGAAAGAGCTGGATTTAGAGCAAGTTTAATAAATGCTGTTGAAATAGGAACATTAAAAGCCAGAGAACTTGGATCTCAAAAAAAGAAAGAGAGCCTTGAGGTTAATGACTCGCCTGCGACTTCTGTTGCAGAAAACTAGACAGTAATAGTGTCATTATAGTGATGCGGCAGCGGCGGTGGCTAAAACTATTAACTAATTTCAAAGCTTGATATTTCAGAAAGTAAAAGAAAGACCTGGATGCCTCATAATTTGTAAATAGCTGCCTTATGTTATGAAGTTTATGCCCCTTTACAGATGGAAAAATTGCTGTTGTTCCTAACTTAAGTTTGCCTCAACCAAATGTTATGAATCTTATACACAAATCTTATTACCACAAAACTCAGATCAAGTACAAATTTGGGCAGCGTCACTTTTATCGTTCTGAAGTAATGTCCCTTTATAACATTATATGCAAGCGGGGGTATCATCTGTGTCTCATTGACACATTTTCCATTTATTTGTAATGTTAATTTTTCTCTTATTATGAGTAACAGGATAACTATATTTGGTATGTGCATACCTTGCAAGGTCCTTATGCCTGTCAGACAATTTTCACTTGAACTGGTCCTTATTTCATGGATCATTGAACAAGGTTAAGTTTTTGTGGTCAAATCAATATCTCAAATACTACAGGCAATAGGTCTACTATATTTTGTGTATGTAATGATTTTAAGGTGTCTATGTCCAACTGGCATGTGTCATCTGACCTAAACCTCATTTTCATGGTTCATTGGACAATGTTTAGTTTTTGTGGTAACTTTGGTCTATTTCTCAGATATTATAAGCAATAGTTCAAATATATTTGGTGTATGGAAACATTGTAGGGTATACATGTCTGTAGGTTTATATGACCTTGATCTCATTTCCATGGTTCATTGGTCAACAATAAGTTTCCTAATTTTGTAAGATCATCAGATACTATATTCAATAGGCATGATAGGTCAACTATATTTGGTGTATGGAATGATTGTAAGGGGTACATGTCTGTCTGGCATGGTTCACCAGACTGTGACCACATTTTCATAGAACATTGACAATGATAAGTGTATGCGATACTTGTAGTAAAACCTTCATATGACGAGATATTTCAGCGTGTGCACTCTTGTACCAAGATCTTAATATGCATCATGGAATTCAAGTTACTTTTATAATATTTGTTCAAAATGGAAGTAATATTCTGGAATATTATTTCTACTTGAAGAAATATTACAGTATTTTGTCATTATGAAAGAGTATAGAATACTATAGCATTGTTTTAGCAAAGTATCCAGAAGAGCTTTTGTCAGAAGGAACAAATAAACATTCAGTGGTTGTCGTTTGTTGCTGTATATCATATTTGTTTTTATTTTTTGTTTGTCTATAAAGCAGGCCATAAGTTGTCTCGTTTGAATTGATTTACATTTGTCATTTCAGGGTCTTTTATAGCTTACGATGCCGCATGGGTTTAACTCATTGTTGAAGGCTGTACAGTGACCTATAGTTGTTAGCTTCTACATCATTTTGTCTTTGGGGGAGAGTTGTCTCAACTCATTGGCAATCATACTTATTTATTTTTCTATTGACAAGATTTTCTAAAATTTTCACAGTGGATATTTTTAGAACAAAGCTTAAATTAAATAAAGGAAATTCTTATTTGAGAATTGATTGTATATAATGAATGTGATAACCAGAAACTTACTGATATACAGTATCCCAAATGTAAAAAGTACAAATATTTCATGTAAACAAATATATAGACATGGCAATTTCAATCACAGTGAAACCTGTTTGAAAAAAAAAACTGTTTCTGAATAATGTGACTTTTTTTAGAATTTATGTTTGCATTTTGACCCAGATTTTGTGGTTCACTGAATATGAAAATGTGATAGTGTGAAATAAGTACATTCTCAGGTATAAGTTATGGTTTAAGGTAGTTAAACATGAAGTCATGGTCACAAAACTTAAAAAAACATGTTCATCATGATTTAGATTTTAAAAAATATTTTTACCCATTTTTTATAGTTCAGTGAACAGGAAAAATGATAGTATGAGTGTAGTTAAAGGTCAAATTGACACATTTTTTGTTTTTTAGTTCAATTTTTTTTTATAAGGAACTTGTGAAAAGAGAAAAAAGTTCTATTTGTGTGTGAATAAGGATTTTACTCATTTTTTGTTTCGTTTATTGTTTTTTACACAAAAACAGGCTGTTAATTTTCTCATTTGAATTGTTTTTCATTTGTCATTTAGGGGCCTTTTATAGCTTGTTATGTTGTATTGGGTTTGCTCATTGCTGAAGGCTGTACCATGACCTATAGTTGCTTACCTTCTATGCCATTAGGTCTCTGGTGGAGAGTTGTCTCATTGGCAATCATAGTACATTTTCTTATTTTTATATGTATCTCATATTGATTAATTTTATCATTAACAGATTGTTACTTCAAAAAATTTCTTCATATTTCATGTATTTGATAATATATTGATTGTTATTTATAATAACATATTTTTGCATCTTAGAAAAAAAGTCATTTAACCACACCAAAGATTTATACACAACAGCTGTTACAGTAAAACCTGAACTCATGAAATATATGTTAATTGTTACAGCATTATTGTTTTGTTACAGTTAAATCAGTTTATTTGACTTCTTTGCTATCAGATTTGTAGTACTATAGAAGTTTCATTTTAACGTAATGTACTACGCAGAACTTTAGAATAGAGAATTATTTTATATTCGACAGTATTATAGGGTTATTGTGTAAATATTGGTGAAAATTGTCCAAAGTAGATTTACAATTTACACAATCTTGCTATACAATGTATATTCTATGAGGGATAATAGTCACCAATATTCATTCAATAACCCTTTTATTATATACCAAAGCTTGAAAAACTGTTTAAAAGAATAGTTTTTTAATCTATTTTGTTTCAGTGCAATACCATAGATTATTATTATTTTGTATATATTTTAACTAATTTGAATTGTTCAAAAAGATTCACTTGTTCATTTGTATTTTCAATGGTAGACTGAGAACCACCGATAGAAAAGTGATAATGCAGTTATTTTTAAAATTTCTAAAAATAGAAATCTAAAACCTCAATACTTTGTGATGCAATTGTAACAGCCAATCAAATGAAATTCCACGCTATTTCCAATGTATTGACAATAAGAATATGGGTAACAATTTTAGTCTTTATATGAGTTTGATACGAGGATATGTAGACCTAAAGAAGATACGAGGATATGTAGACCTCAAGAAGTATAATGACCTCAGACTTCATCCTCAGTCCATATACTTCTTTCAGGTCGAAATATCCTCGTATCAACATCATTTAAAGACTATAATTGTATAAAATTGCACTTTATTTTAGCGTTAAATTCTGTGGGAAAATCATTTTGCTTTACAATAATAAATATGAAATTTTATATTATGAATTCATTATTTTTTGTGGTATACCAATTATTATGGATTTCTTGGATAAAGGTGAAACACAAATTCAAATGTTCAACAAAGTATAAATTTTCCATTAGACTGTATGCAGACTTTGAGAAACCCTGAAATCAAATGATATTATAAATTGTTTGAACAAATCATTGGTACCCAGGAAAATAGATGAATCTAAAGTAATGGAGACATAAATTGCAGGAAGATAAATGAATCTAAAGTAACAGAGACATAAATTGAAAGAGTTATTCATTTATTTGTTTTTTTTTTTAAATCCATATTTGATCTCTTTGTTAATGAAAACATTTTATATTTGATGGAATACTATTGTTTAGTGTACATTTAAGTAAAAAACTGGATGCTAAATGTTTATGATTGTGATATATATTGTAATAAATAAATGTGAAAATTTATCCTGTTTTTATTTAGTTAGCCAGGTTTCATACATCTGTGTGTAAATTTCAGATCATGTTTTGAAATTAGACACATTTTCTATCCCCTAGTTATAACTTATAAAACGGTTTTTTTTTTAAATTATGTGAATGTTTCATGGTGTTCCAGGGGTTGGAACACCCCCTCCTTCAAAATGGATGGATCTGTGCCTGTTACCATACACATACTGACGATTAATTATTATTCATGGGGTACCAAATTTTTTGTGGATTGCATTGGTATACATGAACCACTTTAAGTCTTCAACAAAGTACAAATTTCCTATTGGCTTGTATGTAGAATTTGACTAAACCATGAAACCCCTTTCAGGAAATTACCCCTTTTCTTCAATCCACTAAAATTGATATCAAGGAAAGTAAATCATAAATTGAATCCACAGTACTTGATAGTATATCGGTTGACGACAAAGATGAAGCATTAGTATACAAAATGTATTTATTTTTAGAACATTGGTTGCAATGAAATGTCATGATTTTCGAATCAAGTAAAAGTTGATATTTTACTTGTGAAATAATTCCTGTATTTTCGCCCCTCTGACGTATACGGCATCAGCTTAAGAAGAAAACACTCACAAGTTGACAACTTTGGATATCTATTGACTTAGATGGCTAATTAAACCATGACTACAATTAAACAAACTCTGGAATTTGACAACTATCAAACATCTGTAAAAAAAAATAACGGAAAAATACCAAGGGGGTAGCCAAACTCTAAACTTAAAAACAAACTGACAATACCATTGCAAAAAACAAAAAAGACAAAACGACAAAAAACAGTTCACAAAACACACAATAGAAAACTTAAGAATGAGAAACACAAACCCCATCAAAAACCAGGGTGATCTCAGGTGCTGTAATATGAGAAATCTTATAAAGTGATATTTATGTGAATTTTCTGCTAATACAGACAACCTCTTGCAATTAGCAGATTGAGGTCATTCCAGGTGGTTATGAGGGTAATAATACTACTGCTTACCTGGGTATAGATATGTCCTATTTTTGGTGCAAAAAATATATTTGAGTATTATTGATGTCGAACTGTGTGTCTATGTGTTATAGGTTGCTGTGTCTGTTGCCTACACCATGTCAATTCGAAATAACAGTATACTTTGTGCTTAAGAAAAGTGTATCTATAAAAAATTTACATTGGTTGCATTTAACATTTAAAGACATTAAATTACAGCTTTTTAACTGAAGTATTGAGTATTAATATAATTTAGTATTGTGTCCGTGTGTCTGGCTACAAAATGTATGCCTACTCATTTTTGCACCGGAACCTTGCCGCTAATGTAGATCGCTTACAAGACCAGACGGATGAACAGACAGAGTCCTAGTATTTCTATGTACTCTGCACCCAAAGTGCTGGGAAAAACTAAAGGCTCTAAAGATAAAAAAGAAGATGTGGTATGATTGCCAATGAGACAACTCTTCACAAGAGACCAAATGACACACAAATTAACAACTATAGGTCACCGTACAGCCTTCAATAATGAGCAAAGCCCATACTGCATAGCCAGCTATAAATGGCGCCGAAATGACAAATGTAAAACAATTCAAACGAGAAAACTAACGGCCCAATTTTTGTACAAAAAAAATGAACGAAAAACAAATATGTAACACATCAACAAACGACAACCACTGAATTACAGGCTCCCGACTTGGGACAGGCACATACATACAGAATGTGGCGGGGTTAAACATGTTAGTGGGATCCCAACCCTCCCCTAACCTGGGACAGTGGTGTAACGGTACAACATAAGAACGAACTATAAAAATCAGTTGAAAAAGGCTGAAGAGCCTTTGTCGCTTACCTAGGTCTATGTGCATGTTCAACAAAGGACATTTTCTTCTATGTGAATGTTCAACAAAGGACATTCTCCAACATTGTAGACGAGAATAGAATTCATAACTAAAATCTCTTTTTTGTTGATCTTGTAATGCTGATCGTTTGGCTGTTTAGTTTCTCTCTATCTTCTTAAAGGATATAAGATATAAGGCAAAAACGCAAAAAATTGGTAAAAATTGTCATCAAAGAGCAATAACTCTAATTAGGAGTCGATTTCAACCATGTTAGACTTATTTGCAGAACTTGTCTTGCTGATCATTTTTGCATTTTAAAGTTTCTCTCTATCTATTGTAGTTTTCAAGATAATAGGCAAAAATGAAAAAAGTGATAAAATTTGTCAATTAAGGGCAATAACTCCTTTAAAAAGTGGTCTGACAGTTTCGACGTTTATACACAATTTGTAGAGCTCAAAATTCTGAATATTTCTGCCCTGTCAGATTTTCTCTATTTATAACAGTTTTCAAAATAATGCATTTTACCCCTATGTTCTATTTTTAGCCATGTCGGCCATCTAGGATGCAGGCGAGTTCATCAGACATATTTTTAAACTTAATACCCCAAGTTGTTTCCAAGTTTTGTTAAATTTGGCCCAGTAGTTTCAGAGAAGATTTTTGACGGACGACTGACGCCAAGTGATGAGAAAAGCTCACTTGGCCATCTGGGCCAGGTGAGCTAAAAAAGGTGAAAGTTGGAGCAGAATATAAAGCCCCAAATTATCCACTGATGTGTTTGCCATGAAGAATACAATGCTCCGCAAAACTGCTTAAAACCCTTATAATTACCTTTTTTGATTTTTCATTAATCATATCTATATATGTATTTTTGATAATCTTAATCTTTATACTCAAGTTATTGGATGGAAACATGAAAATCCTAGTTTTTTGGTCCCTAATTCCTAAACAGTCTGGGCCAATACACCCAAAATCAATCACAACCTTCCTTTTGAGGTATGGAATCTTGTGGTACAATTTCATAGAGATCTATACTAAAGTTATTGTCCTGATACCAGAAAAATGCTTGTTTTTAGCCTCTAATTCCTAAACAAGTAAGACAATAACGCCTAAAATCAATCCAAATCTTCCTTTCGTAGTAAGGAACCTTGTGGTACAACTTCATAGAGATCCATACACTTATACTCAAGTTATTGTCTGGAAACCAAAACGGATACATATAGTCTGGATGTAAAAAGATAGGAAGACATATTTTTTTTCTTTATTTTATTGTATAACATTGTTAAGGTTCTTTACATGCAATATGACACAATAGAAAAACATTTAACAATTTAACAAATAAACAACTAGGTCTCATGCTTATTCTATAACAAATAGTATTTATAAAATTTTGGAAGAAAATAATATATACATATTTATATTATCTGAAAAGGTAAAGTGGAAATCTTTTCAACATTTCTGATATATTCATAAATTATATACTGTAAATTCAGAAATTATTGTGAGGTTTTTATTTTTGCGAAAAATGTGACAGGGTTATAGTCACAATAATTTAAACTCGCATTTTGAAATTTTTTATATGAATTAAACAGGATTTTTCTCAATATAGCAAAAATTAAAATTGCATTTTAGTCTAAAATGACAAAATAGCAATAATAAATGCACGCAATAATTTGTGAATTTACAGTACTGTGAAAAAATGTGTTAACAAAATGACCAAACTCCAAGGTAAAGTCTAAAAAGGGGGGGGGGGGGGGGGGGGGGGGGGGGGGTTGAATCCATAAAACCTGACAAAACCAAATGCTGGACTACATCAACCAACAGAACGACTGGGTCACTGGAAAACGACTGTCATATTCCTTGGTACAGGCATTTTCCAAAGAAATCATAATTTGTGTGGGGAAGTTACTTTTGTTTGAATTCTTTGTCAGAAGTGAACCCCGAATCTCAGTATTTGTCATTTAAAAATATCCTACGAATAGGTATACAGAATTTTTTAAAAAGATTAAGAAATATTTTTTTAGAATATCTTGTGTTTCCAGTGACTAGGGTATTTAAATTTTTTAATACTTTTGGCATTGTCAATAATTAAAGAATATGGGTCAGTAACAAATGGCTTCTAAGGTCAGAAACTAGGATGACTTTACTATTCTGAGGTCAGCCACTCATGACTTAACTTTAACTCTTCTTGAATCAGTCACTGGGATAACTTTACTCTTCTAAGGTTATTAACCGATATGAGTTACTGACTATCCTTTAATACAACACTCAAAATTCTTCAGAAATTAAACATTTCTAATCTAATATGAAACTACATAATGTTTGCACATTTCATACTTTGTTTCCTTAATGAAATTTCTTTGTAGAATATTTGTACTAAATTCAAACCAATACATTTACCGAGAAATGTAACAAAAGAAACAACAATAAATATCCCTAGATAAAACACATGTTTATTCTAGCAAACTACTAGATAATGTTAACTATCTTCAGCTTTCTTAAATCTATCTACTTCTTTTATATGCAGATTTATATCCGTACCCATTTCCTCTTTACAAAATTAATATCATTAATAGTAGCATAAACAATATATACATATAAAAAAAAATGTGTAACACAGAATCTGTTAGAAGGAAAACAAATACAACAATAATTTTGATTCATACTATAAACATAATCACAGTTAAATATAACAAAAATGAGGTCAAGTAAACAAAATTGAAAGATTCTCATGCAAAAAGGTTCAAAGGTCAAAGTTCAAGGTTCAAAGCTCAAAGTTCAAACTTCAAAGTAGTATTTGCTAAACTTCACTGATTTTTTTGTTTACATTCCCCTTGCATTTGATTGAAATCTCATCAAAAATGCATTTGCCCTTTTTCATTTAAAGAATAATCAGTACCCCCCCCCCCCCAAAAAAAAAAAGTTTGTTGGACCCCTAGTACCTACCATAGTATGAGAATCTTTTTATCAACTTTAGTTGACCTAATGGTCTAAAATTACACAGAAAATCCTCTGTCTTTTTTAATTATGGTCATCTTCAAACAGAAAAAAAATCTGCTGCAAAAATTAAAAAGCCATGATTTTTAAGCCCTATAAAGCATTCAATAAATAACAAAAATCACAGGTGTGGAAAAAACGGAATGTACATATAAAGATTTTTTTGGCACAAAACCATTCATTTACAGATATTTTTGGGTCAGCCATATGTATGAATTTAAAATATATTTTGTTCAGACAAAAATAATTTCAATTGAAGTATTCAGCAACAAGTATGTACAAAACATTTCTCTCGCAAGATTTTCTGAAAAAAGAGAAAGAAAGAAAAAAACAGAGCAATTTTGGTTTTAAATATGTTTTTTCCAACTTTAAAATCAAATCTTAAAGAATGATTTCAACTTTATATATGACTATTAGTGAAAAGTGATACTTGCATTCGGTGTTGAAGTTTTGAAAAAAAATGAACAGAAAATAAAAAAAAATAAAAAAAACAAAACAACTTGTGCTTTTGCATGAAATCTACAGTGATAATGATAAACTAGCATTTTTGGCCATCACTATAAAACAATTTTATCGCACCAGGCATACAGACAATAAATGGATATATTTAAATGAATAACAATGAGTTATAACAAATATGTATGTATGTATGTATGTAACTGGCCCTTTTTACGACTAAGTAATAATACTAAATCTTTGAAACTTTTGTGCTATATATATGTTAAAGTTCCAAGTCTTCACATTGTGTTGATATTAATTGACAATCTGCCTAAGAATCAGGCAGTGGTGACAACATGACAAACAAAAACCCACTCAACTTTACATCAATTTAAGAGTAGGATGTATAATGGTGCACCAAATGAAACATTTGTTTGCAATAGGGTTCTGGTATTTCAAGATATGATTTGGTTGAAATGGATTACAAATTAACAATTAAGGGGAGACAACTCCATGATTTGCTATCATTCTAGCCAAAAGTTATCTTGATATTTCTATTTCTAAAAAAAAAAATTTCTAACATTTATTATATTCAACTAAAATTGCACCTCATGGTTTATTTACTTTGTTACAATAATTCATTGTTATGTTTTGAAGTATAGTTTAGTTTGAATATAAAATTTAAAATATTTGTTGCTGAACTGTCTTTACTAATATAAAATGCCAAAGAGACAACTATCCACCAAAGTTCAAATGAAGTGGATGTAAGCAATTATAGGCAACCGTACAGCCTTCAACAATGAGAAAACCCATACCGTTTTGTCATATATATTTATTTTCAGGATTATTTTCTAATTTTTGCAAAATTACTTTTCTTAATTTCTTTATATTCACTTTTTGCAAGCAAAAAATCTGCTTGAGGGTTGATACGGTGTGTGATATTGAAAAAGCCATATCATATACACTTTATTATATACATATACCTCCCGTAAATGCTTTTTATGTGACATGACATCATACAGATAAGGAGGTTTGAAATGACGTCATACAGATAATAGGTTTGACATGACGTCATACAGATTAGGGTTTGCAACAGTGACTGCAATCGATGATGTGACGTCATACAGATTAAAGGTGTGATAAAGCCTTTGCAACCGTGCTGATATCGATATCATCACGGGTGGCTGATACAGCACGCTTGCCAATGATTATATTACACATACAATCTATCTGTATTTACTACTAAGTATATAATAAATATCAGTATAATGGTAATGTTTCAAAAATAACATTATCAGTTGTGTATACTGGAAAAACACACACATAAATTTCCCGTGCATTAAATAAAATAATAATTAGAGGCAAATCCTCTTGGGTCTGGAAGGGGGGTCTTCATTTCTGTATTCTAGATTTTACCTCAATTCTTTATTTTTTTGTCTATTATTCTGTATGCTTTATATTTTAGCCCCCATTATTCTATAAACATAACCAATAATATTTAATCTTTGGCCTATTTTTCACTAATCTTTTTTTTAAAGCTTATGAAGTGCTTTTTGCCCATTATTCTCTATAATATGAACCTCATCCAGACCCTCATCCTTCTGTAGGGCTTTAGTTAAAGTAACTTTCAAATAACTTTTTCTGTTATCTACTATACATATTGATATCTACATTTTTTAAACATTTTAAAAATAACAAAATGGAATTTAATGATAACAACATAATTATAAAAATTTTTATAAAGTAAAGAAACAATAAAACATTTACTACAATTCATAATTTCAATATTTTACTATTAAACCACCTGGATCTTCAAATACATTCAAGGCCAGTAACACAGTTCCTCATGTCCAAAGTCATAAAGGCAAACTTACTGTGAATTTATTATTATTCGTTATAAATAAAATACCAATTTTGACAAATTTTGTTAGTATGGATACCAAATATAATGTCCAACGAAGTAAACATTTTCTATAAGCTTATATGCAGACTTTGGCAAAACCATGAAATTAAATATTTTACAAAACCAGGGGTCACCACACTAGGGGAAGTGAGCGACTATGTCACCCTAGGACTATCCACTACGCTCTAGAGAAGCTCCAGGGAGAAGTTTATGTTGCCGTCTATTTTCAGTAAAATTCCCCAATGTCGCCAAATGATTTTTGAAAAATTCTGGATCCAAATGTACACAACCCGATAGTTGACGAAATACAAAACATGTAATCCCTGAATTCGGAACTGATTTGTCCGTGGTATTCTACTCCAAAATTAAAATTGCTTGACAGGATGTACTATAAGCAAGAAACAAGAAAAAAAACTTGATTTTCCAATGTTTGTTTATTGTCCGCCATCTTTGTTATCCAAAATTGTAGATGGAGCCCTTTTATCTTTTCTAAACTCTTATCATTTGCCTAATCCATATTATTATGCAATTTTAATATAGATTATTTTATATTTACTTCTAGATATCAAAATTTGATGCTTGATTAAAAAATTTTCATATCTTTTCAAATGTTGCATAATGTAAACTGTTTTTTCATTTATTTTCTTGGATTCAAGATTCAATATTCGTGGATTGAAAAAAAATTATAGATTCAGAAACCATAATTTTTTTCCAATCCAGGAATATTTGAATCCAGGAAAATAAATGAATCCACATTATTTAAAAAAAACATTATTACTGGTCGAAATGTACTTTAACATTTCTACATACATGTACATTCAAAAGGTGGGAGATACGTAAAACAATAATGAAAACAAATTACAATAACAAAAGTCCTGCAACTCTTTTTATAAAAAATCTTACGATTAAATTTGATCATAAAATATACTGAAATGTTCATGACTTATGACTATCTTTACTCATAAGATTTTTTGTGAATAGAGCCTCTGTATGATATTTACAATAAATCTATATACATAAATATTGCATTTGTTTACACAACAGTAAGATTGGCCAATAGAATATTGCATCAATTTCATGTGAAATTTACTTTAACAATAGTTTGATATATAACACAATATGAAATTTAAAAAAAATAATAATTATTTCCTCATTTTAAGTTGAATATTGACCAATCAAATGTATAATAATTAGCATTATTTAAAAAAAAAATTTAGAATGGATTTAACATTTATTTTCTATATAAAATTCATGTGCACTGCAAGTCACGCAAGTTTCATATGAAATGTGCTATGCATGATTATTGTGAGGAATACTTGTGAACAAATACAGTGTATATATATCAAAATATTGGCAGTTTTGGTGGATCAACCTTTAGAATTACAAGTTAAATTGACACTTCCAGAAATTGGGATTTAGAAATTATGTCATATTGAAAACTATCTATAGTATCCATCATAGTATTAGGCATAAGAAATGTACATGGAAGCATTATACAGACAAAAAAATTCAGAGAAAGTCAGTTTGTAAGTTGAAAAAAAAAGAAATGGAGAATGTGTCCATGGGACACAGATGAAGCCCCTGCTTGCATATAAAATTATAAAGGGACATAACTCAAGAACGATAAAAGAAACGCAACCCAAATTCGAACTTGATCTTGTTTTGTGGTAATGAGCATTGTGTATAAGTTTCATAACATTTGGTTGAGGCAAACTAAAGTTAGAGAACGGAAACTAATTTTGGGATGCACAGACAAGGGTAACACTTAATGCCCCCTCCGCTACGGCAGGGGCATACAAATTCTCAAAGTTTGAAATAAATATCATCCACCACATGACTATATTTCTTAATTAAAGTATCAGTGAAATTGAAAAATGATGAAAACTGGAAATTTTTTTTAACTTATTTAACTTAATACCTCTAATAACCTATTTACATAAATATGGAAATCTCAAAAATAAAATAGGTGGGGCTCAATGCCATTAAGTACTGCAGAATTTTTGAAAATTTGATTAAAGCAAGTCCCTAGTTTAAGAGGAGTTGTGGATACAAAATGCACATTAAGTAACAAGGGGACATAACTAACATAAACACAGGTAGTATAATAATATAAAGGGAAGAGGAATAAACACGCCGAAAGTGGTAATTTTCCTAATTTATCATTAACAGTAGAAAGACGTCTGCTTACAATCAGTATTCAAATATGTTTAAACACTAGAAAGACACTTTTAATATTGTATTAATGCTGTTTCAACAAACACAAACAATTTGTTCAAAGAAAATAAAATCAGTTTCACTTCATTTTTTTCTTTACGTCTCATTTTGAATTTTTGAATTTCACTTACGGAAATGTAGGGAAAATATTTTTTTTTACAAAAAGAACTGCAGTATGTATCAAACATTTCCTAAAATATTGCAAATAATACTTAAAATATTTCTACTGTATCATTAAACCTCTAATACAGGGGTGGTCAATAGATTACATCAATTATAGTGGTTGGTCATTAGTATAAAGAAGAATGTGCACCTAATGAAAAACACTATCAAAATGTTTAACTGCATTTCTATGGAGTCTAACAGATGGACTTCTATAACAACAGGTTCTATGGCAAGTTTATGACTGAATTTTGTCTTTCTCCTTCATAATCTTTGGTTTCTGTTAAATCTATAACTGGAGAACACAATTTGCATATTGCTGTAATCTGATTATAAATCATCGTCACCAATCGTACTAAAAGCATCGTTCGTCACAACACCTTTCTTGTCATTTTTCCCATTTCCTTTAGCTTCCTGTAAAATGAAAATTAAATTGAAATTATTGGATTAATTGGTGGCAGTTCTCTCCAATAACAAATATTACACAGCATATTAAGGATGATAATATATTTTTGTCTAGTGTGTGAAGAGACTTTGTCTAGTGTGTGAAGATATTTTGTTCAGTATGTGAAGAGATTTTGTCTAGTGTGTGTGAAGAGATTTTGTCTAGTGTGTGAAGAGATTTTGTATTGTGTGTGAAGAGATTTTGTCTTGTGTGTGAAGAGACTTTATCTGGTGTGTGGAGACATTTTACCTAGTTTGTGAAAATATTTTGTTCAGTGGGTGAAGAGATTTTGTCTAATGTGTGAAGATATTTTATTTAGTGTGTGAGTGTATAAAGAGATTTTGTCTATAGTGTGTGAAAATATTTTGTTCAGTGTGTGAATGTATAAAGAGATTTTATCTAGTGTGTGAAAAGATTTTGTTCTGTGTGCAAAAGTTCAGTGTATCTACTGTGTGGAAAGACCTTGTGTCATAAATAAATACACTGTATCTTTTCTTTTCAATTATAATTTAAAAAAATATTTAGAAATGCCTGACCTCCTCTGGACTAGGTAAGGATGACTGTGCCAAACCCATGCCATAACTATTATCCCTCTTCAGCTGCACTTTCTTCGCTGTACCTTTTGATCTATCATGTGGCTGAAACAAAGAACATGAAAATAGTAAAATGCATGAACCAAATGTTTAATTTGAAAACCGTATATTAACTTCCAAATGTTTTATGTTTTTTGTGTTGTTGGGTTATAATTACTGTCCAATTAATGTATACATACCCCACATCTCCTTTTATTCATATTCACTATTCATAATAAAAAGAACATTGTTCAGAAATAGTGTTGTCTGCTCTTTGGTCGGGTTGTTAGTCTCTTTGACATATTCCCCATTTCCATCCTCAATTTTATTTGTTAGGTTCCTCATAAATTCTGCTTACACATTACATCAAAGAATTGTTTAACGCTCTTGAAAATTGGAATTAGGACTATAAAAGACTTATATATTATTTATTGTTTTATTTCTGTGTCACATGAATTCTTAAAATGCATTGATAAAGTTAGGAACCTCTGGCCTTTGTTAGTCTTGTATGTTGTTTTAACTTTGGTTCATTTATATGTTTAGAAGTTTAGTGTGACGTCCATTTTCTCTGAACCAGTATACATTTTTGTTTAAGGGCCAGCTAAAGCCCACTGGGTGCGGGATTTTCTTGCTGTGTTGAAGACCCATTGGTGGCCTTGCGCTGTTTTCTGCTCTTTGGTCAGGTTGTTGTCTCTTTGACACATTCCCTGTTTCCATTCTCAATTTTATCGATAAAAACGCCTATAACAAACGCACTACTGATTTAAAGACTTATCTCACAGGTATACTCCTTAAATGTACATTAATTATTACAAAAGTACAAAAAAAGATAAGATATCAACTTCAAATTACAAACTTACTCGTTTGATTTTTCTGCCTTGTTTTTGTGAGATAAGTTCATCGACCATGGACTGTAAACACATACTCATTAATATTGCCTGAAAAGATATAGATATTGTATATACAGTGGTGGATTCAGGAGGGGTTGTATATCAGAAAAATAGTAAAACAGATACATATGTTCAAAGCCATAGATTTACAAAAACTAGAAAGACATACAATGTAATCAAAATTGATACTCACTGGCTATTGGTCCAGTGTATATTTCACCATTTCTGATTATAAAAGGATTTTGTGGGTAATTGCATTGTTAATAAACTGAAATGGTAATAAAATTTTGCCTTTGGTTGATTACACATTGTCTAGAACAATTCTAACCAATCAAAATTCATTGGAATCTGCTTTTGACAGTTATACCCAGAATGCATTATTCTATAAGGGACCATACCTGCCAACTTTTCAAAATCTCCATGGGGGATTTTAAGCATAAGAGGACCTAATGCATACCTATACATATCATTAGTGTACTTAATTAGAACATGTATAGTTTTGAATGAGTACACATGTGTTTAAATGTATTTTTTACTATTCTGAATGCCTGTTTTAATGTATTTAGTCTACACAATTGAGTTATATACGGGTCAGGTCAACACCTATCATGGGGGATATCCCTCATAAAGCGGAATAGTTGGCAGGTCTGAGTGACATTGCTATCACACCCATTTCTGACTGAGCATTTGGAGATAGTGTAATTCCTACCTGATCTGTTTTGATACTAATCCACTGTAAACAATCTCTTGACATCAAATATTCAAAAGCCAGTTCCATCTGTGGAGGTTTTGTACTCTCACCATTTCTCTCAGCAAACTATAAATAAGTATAGTTACTAAAGACTTTTTTACACATATACATGTAAAAACATGACAAAGGAAGAAGTCACTAGTGTTTTTAATAAGATATCAATACTGTAAAATCAGAAATTAATGTGTGCATATATTATTGTGAATCACTGCTACTTGTAAAAATGTGAGATTTAAATATTGCGACTGCTAACCTTTCGTGAAGAAAAATCACTACTGAAATCAAAAATGCAAGTTTTTATTTTGTGCGAACCTGATACTCTTGCATTTTCTGCATTAATAAAAACATCCCAATAATTTCTGAATTTACAGTATGTTTCATATAAGAAAAATGTGTAACTGAAATGAATTTCATGACACCATAATAAATGATCTGTTTATTTTAAAAAATAGACACACTTGACAAGATATACAACAACAATAATTACCTTGGGCACTGAACTGGTTATTCTCCAACACTTTATTCTGGTGATTTTAAAACTACCTTCTTTTACAGAATTCTGAAATTCAAGCAAAATGCAGATTAGATATTTTACCAATGATATAATTTATCAAACAAATAAAATTTGGGCTTTCATACAGAATCTTCTTCTATTTCATAAAATGTAAAGATAATTATTTCAGTTTTCAATTCCTACTTATCATAGTGATATGTATGAAGATCATTGCCAAGATCTAATGTTTAATTTCACACTAAATTTAGGATCACCACACTTTGGAAATGAGCGAAATATTAACTTTTCTAATACTGTGCAAAGTAGATCCAGAGAACTCTCAAGGCTAGCAATGAGATTGTCCAGCATATTATGACAGCATTTGTTTAAATTCATTTCCCATGTAGTCCCTAATTGGTTGATTTTCCACTGCATCTATGTGCTTCAATTTGTAAATACGGTATTATTGACTTTAAGCAAATAATTAGCTATATAATTTTACTAAAGAATTTTTAAATACTAATACTTTAGAATGAAAAATTACTACAGAATGGTAAAAGTGACACTACCAACATTCAAACTGGATCTGTGTTTTGTGGTAATAAGCAATGTGTATAAGATTCATAACATTTGGTTGAGGCAAACTAAAGTTAGAGAACGGAAACCAATTTTGGGACGTACGGACGGACAAACTTACAGATGGACAAGGGTAAAACTAAATGCCCCTACGCTACAGCGGGGGCATAAAGAAACAACAATTGTTAATTCTATTAATTTTGTAACAAAAAGTCATTGGTTAGTCAAGATTACCAACCAACAAGTGCTTAAGTTAATGCTTTGAAAAAGGTTAACGTAATCAGAAGTTTGTTTTCCTAAAATGCAAATTAAAATAGCAATATTGGCTTCCATATAGGTTCAAATACTTACTGCTGCCATCTGTATTCTGAAGTTTAATTCCCTTCCCCCTGTACAAATCAACACCCGAGAATCAGCCTGTGGGTAGTCTGTAATACAAGGCTTAAACTGTATGTAACCATAGTACTTGAAGGTCCTCACTAACCGAAGGTACTGGAAAAAAGTGGAAAATATTAGCAAACATTACAAAACAAATAATAATAATGATATTATTTGTGTAAATCTGTTAGTGTTTTTTTAAAATAAAATATAAAGATTATTCTAAACTTAATCCATACTTGGAAAAATCAAAATGAAATGCTGAAAACTCAGAAATTTTTGAAATGTTTTTATTATTATTTATACATGAGAAAAATGGGACAGTATCAGATTTGCAATAATATTAACTCCAATTAATGATTTCGGTAGTGATAGTCCTGTAAATTTTTTTGCAATTGCAAAAGACCTCCCATTTTGAGCAGTAATCAGTGATTACCAATAATAAATGCACACATTAATTTTTGAATTTACAGTATACAAAAAATTCCACTAATAGATAAGGCAAGCTTCTATTTTATAGTTAACACAGTATTAGGGAAGCAAATGTTGGCTTTTCTGTTTGAGATTTTTTCTTATAAAGTTTTACAAGAGCAAAATCCTGCAAACATGTAAGTAAAAATTATTTGTAACAACAATATTGTCATCAATTTTACTGCACCAGATGTGCATTTTAACAATAAATGTCTCTTCAGTAATGCTGTGTATGTAACTTATGATAAATTAAATTCTTAAGGTTATTTTGTGAAAAAATCTACTGAATATTTTGCAACACTTAAGTTCGCTTGTACTTGTGTGTTTATTTCTGTAGAGTCTTTCGGTATACTTACCTCCCTTTTTGAACCTCTTTGCTGTAAAGTTGCTAAATGTTTAAGTTGTTCTTTTGTTCCCAATGTCCATGACCTTTCTATATCATTTACAGCCTATATATAAATATTTTAAAATAAAACTCTTTAAAAAATTGACATATGCAATGTAGCACAAAAAAACGAACAACTATATATGTCCCTTTTATTTTCAACCCAGCTGTACATTGTAAAGTGAGAAATTTTTCATAATGGTCTGTATGCAATAATTTGGCTAAATTTAACTAAATTATCCATTTTCGTAAGAAGTAAGTTCCATAAGAGCCCATTTTGGCCCCAAATATTAAGTGTTTCAATATAACAAGTATGTCAGTTGATGAATAGGATTGTAAGAAAGTGAAATAGAAATCTTCTCTGTCAAGCATTTCTTATGAAGCATTGACATTTACACCCAAAATATTTTGTGAAAGTTAAGAAAATCTGGATATCAACCTCATTTAGGTCCAGGAAACAGAGTGCATGATTCAACTTACTATTCAAGTCAAATAAATAATTTGTTATAAATCATGAACAATGTAAAAAGATCTTTTTTGTCAACATGTTCAATGCATGCACATTATGTTTCAGGTCCTTTGATGTTGGAAATTGACATGTTTTCATTAAATTTCCTTAAGAAAAAAATATTTGTGCTATTAGTGACTTTATGAAATGAATCCTCATATGGAAATTTTCAACAAAAAACCTTTTCCCTATCTATTCATTGTTTTACCGATGAATTATTTTTATTATTGCCAATGAATTTTTATTTTAAATTTTAGATAGTAATAGAGGCCATATTGAGGCCTTATCAAATCTACTTCTTCAATCTTTAAAAAAATAAAACCTTTTGAATAAGTTTGCACCTAGACATCATGAAAATGTGATTTGAGCTTTTTGAAAGGGATTACCGTACAACAAAATATGGTTACTGATATATTTATTTTTTGAAAAATTCATGACATAAGCGAGGTTTAAAACACAGTTCCTACACATTGATTGTACAAATTAAGGCACATCTGCAAAAATATTTTTTGTATCTTTTTTCACACAGTCAAAGTAATTACATTTATGGATCTTCATTTTCAAGACTTATGAATAAAGCAATAATTCCTTGGTTTCTTCAATTTGTTATTTCTGACATTCCATTCACTCCCTAGAAATGAAAGAGTTAACTTTTTTTGAGTACTTAATTTTAGGGTTTTGAAAAAAATACAGTAAATGTTGGGACCCCATTATTTATAATTATTGTTACATGATACTGATTTCATTTCATACCTGGACGTATAACAGATTCATTGCAACTTTATTTTCTAACAAATCATCTTCATAACTCAAATCCCAAAACCTGTAAATATAAAATATATATCATATTTTACAAGAGGCATAAAAGAATTTTAAACCGTTACTTGTTTGGGATCAGACTTCAATATGAATATTGTTGATGTAAATCTTCAATAAAGCTTTTATCCAAATCTTTCAATAACTGCAAGGGTTATATCATTTATAAAGCAGTATTTCACAAAAATGTTTCCAAGGGGCATAACTTATAACTTTTTTATTGGCACTATTTTTCAAACTTAATCCAGAAATTCTTGACATACACAATAAGCCAAACAGAAACACATACCCTTTGCGTAGGACTATTCTATGGGATCCTATCTTGTTTGCATATTTCAATGAGATATAAGGTGATTCAAATTCTTGTAACTTCCGAACAACTGAAAAAAGATACAGGAATATTATACGATTAAATCATTGATTAACTTTGCTAAATGATGCCACAGTAACACATAATGGTTATATCATTGAAAAACAAAAAGACTTGTACTACTTAAGAGATAAAAAAAAGTTGACAGCTTGAACATTTCATAAATTTTAATAAAAAAAAATGTAAACTTCTACACAAAGCGTGTTTAATATTTACTTATCTTTTTGGCTTGCAATATGGTAATACAAAAATGCAGAATGCACAAATCTATTTTTATACACTATGCATCTATATATATGAAATCAATAATTTATAATGACCCTATAATAACATGAATAAGAGCTCTCTTGTTAACAAACACCGATTTTGAATATTGCAAAAAAAAAGTTTTTGTTGTTATTTAATTTAAAATAAGGATACCTAAAAAAAAGTTTATTTTTTATTGTCAATGAAAAGACCATGTACATGTATATATATATCTCACTTATCTTCAGAGAGTGTAAACATTTAAACTTTAAAATGATATCTTTTATAATAGATAAAATTTAAATGCTGTAAATTCTGATATTTTTGTAATGCTTTTTATAATTATTGTGAAAATTGACACAGGATAGATTTGGCATATATTAATTCTCACATCCCAAACATGGATAGCACCATCTATATATAGCATTTCCTGAAATCTCAATAACTAATCTCGCATTTCTATCAATTATACCCCATCACACCAACAAATGCACACAAAAATTTCTGAATTTACTGTAATAAGTAGTTTTTCCAAAACTTACTAGAATTATCCCCATCCTCTTCTTTCCGTACCAAGTATAATGTGAAATAATATGTAAATTCTTCTGGCAGTTCTAGTTGTGATGCTACAGTCTATTGAATAGCAAAAATAAAAATTATTAGTCGACAGTTGTAAAACTTCATTTTTGTGCACATGTTTAAAGTTCTGCTTTTATCGTTTGAATTGTTTTACATTTTGTCAGGTCAGGGTCTTTTATAACTTACTATAAGTTATGAGTTATACTCATTGTTGAAGGCTGTACAGACCTACAGTTGCTTACATCCATATCATTTGGACTCAGATGGATAGCTGTCTCTTTGACAATCACACCACATCTCCTTATTTCTATATTAAGAAGAGAAATTTGTTTAAAAGCCAAATCCCTCCTTGAAAGAAAAATATATTATTTCCTGCCTTTCTATCTACCTTAATTTTCATGCTAAAATTTCCCCTATGCCTGGATGCTTTTTAATAATACCTTGGGAAGGGAGTCACTCAACAGAATAGACCGCCCTGTTTTAGGACAGTTTTGTGTGAGAGAATTGCAACTAATGCTTTAATAATATTTTGACAATGTGTAAACAACATAATTTATGAACTAAAGAAAGACATTTTAAGATCAAGTCTTTTGCACTGAAGATTTAATTTTAAGAAAGAAATATTATACAATGAATGCTAAGCACCCCCCATTTGTAATTCAAAGTATCAGTTAACAAGAAGTAGGTGTCAGTTGAATCTTAAAGTGTCCATACATTACAACTCATCACTGTCAAGCTGTAGACAAAATATGTAGTCATTCTTTTCAGCAGTGCCTGAGAAAAGTTTGATGAAAATATTTGTTAAAAAAAAAAACAAATGGGGGAACAGAAACACACAAAAGCAGAATGCAATATAGTCCCCTTTCCTAGAATAAGGATATAATTACTGCAATGCTCATCGTGACCTTTTTTGTACTAATAAAAACATTACCTAAATTTCTATGTTTCTAATATGTACATGTAATTGACTGATTGCGCCTTTTTTGTAAAATCTAAATACCTCCAAAACATCTTCTGTTTGATCTGTAGACATAATTTTTACAGTAATTTTGTAACCATTCATTAGGAACACATCTAATGTAACAGCCTCTGATGTCTCTTTTTGTGTTTCCTGTTATATTAAAAAAGACAAATTTGTCTGAAACAACAGAACTGTTTTATCACTGTTTTCAGGCTAAAACATTTAGACATCCTCTACAACTAATATATGGTCAAGGTCAACATACCTTTACTGAATCTTGCTAAGCCTAAATCATAAAACTTCAAGTACATTTGATATTGTTTATTTACTGCAAAGTGCTATACTTCCACAGAGATTATTGCAATTTCACAGGCGAACCTGTTCATGAGGTTTTATTTTCATACTTTTTCTGTACTTTACTTTAATATCTTATTTGAAGATCAACTTTACATAGGGAATATTGAATTTAAAATTTTGCCTAAAATTTCTGAATTTAGAGTACTCTCCCTTATGGAGCAGTCCCAGTCACTAGACATTACTCTTTATCTTATCTGGATTCATCCTATAAATTACAATTTTAATTTCTCTTCTGATGCAGCTGATACCATTTAGACTAAGTTTTAGGGTATTTAGCTGAACTTGCTCGGAATGACCCTAGAATAGCCTCCAAATAACCTTCTAACATCAAGTAACAATCACTTTTTAATTTTGACATCATATGTTTTATAGTGTGACGGAAAATTTTGTAGGAACTTGTTTTCCTTTATGTAATGGCAGACTTATTTGTTTACACGTGTAAAAACATCTATTCTGTACCAGTTGATGTACACCATTCAATTTTGCTAAATTTTTTCTACTGCAGATTTTAAGCATTAGATAAACTCACATCTTCAAAACTTGTGCAGACTTTTTTATAAATTGATAAATTTTTTGTGTAATTCTAAAAAAAAAATGTGCACTATATATTGAACAAAAGTATTTCAATATATAAGAGAAACAACAACAACTAAACATAAACCTAGTTAGTTATACCTGCTGTGCCTTGAGGAGAAATCCATTGAATATATCTGAGTTTGCTATTCTTGGTTCTTGACTCACTGAAAAACAAAATGAATTCCATTATTTATATTATTAACCATAAAATTTACTGGTTTATAGATGAGCAATGTCTTTGAAACCATTCTAGTATACTGGGACCCCTAAATTGCCCTGTTACAGTTTATTTCTTTAAAACTGGCTTAAAAATGTATAAACAGTTATGAACTAAAAAATAATACTTTAAAATAGTGAAGCTTTCCTTATAAAGAAATCTTTTTAATTATGTACCAGAAAATTATCACTTTTTTTATAATTATTACTCTGAGGATTTGAGTCCAAACCCCGCTCGTGTGGGTGCACTCGACTCCAATCTTAATTGACTATGATTGTCAGTTTTCCTATTGAAGGTCAATGGTTTTCCCTGGGCACTCCAGCTTCCTCCACCAATAAAAACTGGCCGCCACCAAATAGTCCAAAAGCGGTGCTTAAAAGTGGCGTTAAAACACCAAAAATAAAAATAAAATATAATTATTGCTAATTTATGCCGTTATTTTTAAGAATTGAGTGCTTCTTCTTGTAATTCTATTGGGGTGTAAAAGCTTTCACTGAAGCACATTATGTTTAAGCAGAAGAAGTGCTAGGAACAGATTCTACACAACAACAAAATATACTTTACCCTATGTAGCTAAATTTTCTAAAATAATTAAAAAAAACACTGTAAAAATCTCAGAATTCACAGAATTAAAAACTTTTGTAGGCCTTAAATCTGAAAACAATATGTTTTTATCTCATATGAAGGAACCTAGAATCTTGATGGATATAGAGGTAAAATCTACATTATACATAATATATCTAACCAATCTGAACATATCTCTCAAGCATAAGTCGTCTCTCCTCTAACTTCTCTGGAGTCATCCCAAACAGTTTCTTTGGTGGGAATGGTGGCAATACTGTTGCTCCAAATTCTTTCTTAAGCTGCAGTAAAAAACAGATTATTTTCATGCTTTAAAAAATAAATTTGAAAAAAATAATCTACTACTAATAATGGAACATTACTTATAGTTCCTTTTATAGTTTCGTTTCGATCTATAAAGAGCTTAAACTCCTAACTTTCCTACTGTCTGTCGATACATTTATTTTTGGCATTGCACTAGTCATGTCTTCTTTTACTGTCCATGACGTTAAAATACTAAATCCCTGGGATGTGTTTTAGTTGATTTTAGTCTCTGATGTATGATTTTTTATTATTAATTGTTTTGGCTTTTAACTAGCTGTCAGTAACTGTGAGTACTCTCAAATCGTACTTTCTTGTTTATTTGACCTGTTGATACTAATTGTATTGCTTTTTTGTTATTTAATGTTATTCAGGGTTATATCTGGTCTATATACCAGCTTTGATAAGTGTTTGGTATAACTATAAATTTTCATTTCGTACTATGAACATCAAAATTATTTATTTTGTAATAATATTTCCTTTCTCTATTGGTACTGTACACGTATATCTAACAACAAAATTATTTTCATTTACCTGTGTTTAAAGTTATTGCAAATGGATGGTATTTTTGTTCGAGCATATTGTTTTTCTTTAATTGTTTAACATTTCTTACCGATATAACATGTTACTTTTATTATTCTTCCCTTAGTTTATTTATTTTGTATTCAAAATTATTTATTTTGTAAAAATATTTCCTTTCTCTATTGGTACTGTACAGGTATACCTAACAACAAAAATATTTTCATTTACCTGTGTTTAAAGTTATTGCAAATGGATGGTATTTTTGTTCGAGCATATTGTTTTTCTTTAATTGTTTAACATTTCTTACCGATATAACATGTTACTTTTATTATTCTTCCCTTAGTTTATTTATTTTGTATTCAAAATTATTTATTTTGTAAAAATATTTCCTTTCTCTATTGGTACTGTACAGGTATACCTAACAACAAAAATATTTTCATTTACCTGTGTTTAAAGTTATTGCAAATGGATGGTATTTTTGTTCGAGCATATTGTTTTTCTTTAATTGTTTAACATTTCTTACCGATATAACATGTTACTTTTATTATTCTTCCCTTAGTTTATTTATTTTGTATTTACATTGTGTCATAGGTCAAATTTATTTGTTCAGTGTATGTTCAATGGTGTTAATATGTCCTTTGATTGAGTTAAGCTATTTCAGTTGATATTTTATAGTGTGTCTTTCTATGTTGTGATGTTACACTATTGTTTCAGAAAAAGGGTGAAGGTTTGTTACCATTAAAACGTTTAAACCCGCTGCATTTGTTTGCACCTGTCCTAAGTCAGGAATCTGATGTTCTATAGTTGTCGTTTGTTGATGTGGTTCATAAGTGTATCTCGTTTCTCATTTTTTATATAGATTAGACCGTTGGTTTTCCCGTTTGAATGGTTTTACAGCCCTTTGGAGTAAAACTAACACAAAGGCAGCTAAAATTATGTGTTTATGTATGGTGGTATGTGTTCCTGTAAATTGTTATCATTAAATTATTCAACTCAGCATATTGATATAGTAAACAGTATCTAGGATTATCACATTAATGTTCTAATTGTTCAGAGTAAACTGTCAATTCATTTTTTCTTCCTGGTAACCAATTGTTAGGGATTGAGAAAAAAAAATTGTATTTTCATGGAAGCTTGATATGGTTTGACAAATTCTGCATATGTCCATAATAATTTTTTTGTATGTTGTAATTCCTGGTTCCTTGTAAAATTATGAATGAAACCCACAAATACTGGTACCTCGCAAATACTGGTACCCCACAAATACTGGTACCTCGCAAATACTGGTACCCCACAAATACTGGTACCTTGCAAATACTGGTACCCCACAAATAATACTGAATCCATAGTACTTCAAATATGACAGGTCATGCATGTTGGACATGCACATATACCTATTTGACTACTGTTCATAAATTTCATATTCCTTGGATTATTTTGACCTATATATAAAAATAGAATAGAAAATTGAAACCGGGAAAGTGTCAAAGAGACAACAACCTGACCAATAAGCAGAAAACCGCCAAGGCCAACAATGGGTCTTCAACGCAGCAAAAAGATCTGGTACCCAGAGGAGGGCTTCAGCTGACCCCTAAATAATAATGCATTTCTTTTTTTATCATTACCTCTTCATTGAAGGCATTCAGTAGGCTGTATCTGACAGAGCAATGGAATACACCATTTATATGTACGTTAAAACTCTGAAATAAAAAAATATATATGATTTAGAACCACTGCATGTACATGATGTAAAGTAATAACAAAAATAAACCATATAATTTTCACACAGAGGTTTCCTCCCCGAGGATATCACCAGCCAAGTAGTCAGTTCTTCTCTGTTGACATGAATTATCATTGATATGGTCATAATTATAAATTAACTGTTTACACACTTTTGAATTTTTCAAAAAACTAAGGATTTTCTACCCAAGGAATAGATTACCATAGCTTCATTGGGCAAAACCTTTTGGAATTTTGGGTCTTAAATGATCTTCACCTTCATACTTTATTTGGCCTTTTTAACTCTTTGAGTCAAGTGTCACTGATGAGTCTTTTGTAGATGAAACCTGTGTCTGGCATACATAATTTTTAAGCCTGGAGTATACCTGGTATTAGCATGATTAGCTACTAGATATAAAAAAAATTAAAATACAATTTTTTTATTGTTCAATCATTAACGAAAGTGAAAGAGTGAAATAATTAGCTTTAAGCAGCCAGTTTGGTTCAATTTTATCAAAATAAAGCAGAGAAACATCTCTGATGAATTATTCACTTGAAAGTGAATAACTCAACCTCATTGAATTCCTGTTCATGTGACCTTCAATCTAACCCCTTAGCTAGAGATGGATAGGATTTTAGAACCACTGCATGTATCAAGTGTATAGTAATAACAAAAATAAACTATATAATGTTTCACACAGAGGTTTCCGCCCTGAGGATATCACTAGCCCAGGAGTCAGCTCTTCTGTGTTGACATGAGTTATCATTCCAGTAGTCAGCTCTTCTGTGTTGACATGAATTATCATTGATATGGACATAATTATAAATCAACTGTTTACACATTATAAACTAACTGTTTACACACTTTTGAATTTTTCAAAATACTAAGGATTTTCTACCCCAGGAATAGATTACTGTAGCTTTATTGGGCAAAACCTTTCGGAATTTTGGGTTGTCAATGCTCTTCAACTTCGTACTTTATTTGGCCTTTTCAACTTTGTTGATTCGAGCATTCCTGATGAGTCTTTTGTAGACAAAACCTGTCTCTGGCATACCAATTTCTGAAGCCTGGTGTAGAGATGGGTTGTGCATAAACTACTTGTGTTTGGCTATTAAAAGGAAAAGAATGTTAATATTGAAAGTGAAACAAGGATAAACCATTTGGTTGACTGATTCGATCTACAAAAACTCATTGTTATACAGGTAAAAACGATGATAAAAATATTTTCTAACCTGTAATATGAAATCAAACAGACCAAGAAAAATTCAATTGAACATGTTCACTATCTATTTATATCTATATTTAAGTTTATTTATCAGGTTAAATGACATCATGCAGTCTGCAGAGGTCACCTTGATGGTTAATTAGATGGCGTTTAAACTAAAATACACACGAAATGCTGATACATATTATTGAGTCCATGCATCATAAATTATTTATTTGAGACTTTTTACAATTTGGATATAAGGTTTAGTCATGTTAGTAGGTTATCATAGTTATAAATCAAATATGAGAATTTGAGTCAAATTGGTGAACATGAATTTGATCAGTAATTGATTCAATTAACTTTAATTGTATTTGAACATATACATGTAGGTGTCCAGGATGATAAAAATAATTACGATTTGACAACTTAGCCAATCACTTCTATATTATTTTACATATATTTGACATGTTTGATGCAAGAATAAAAGAGATGTCTTATCAATTAAATAAAATGACTAACTCATTTTTTATGCTACTTGTATAACATAAAATAAGTAATTGCTTTATTTATGATTGCCAAATGCGACAACTATCCAACAGATATTTTTTTCTTACTTTGATCTGACAGCTTGAGTTGTTTTTAAGCTTGCTGATAGACAAAATTTGTCTCATTGCAATGCAGTGGCAGCAATGTACAATGTATATCTCTTGGCAACACAGATAACAAGAAAGAGGTGTATATATAGCCTACCGTATCACACAGAGCAAGTGACACAAACATACATACATGTATAACAGTTGGTCATCATATTGTAATTCATTAGGTTCAATTTGTAATTTATACATTATTCTTGGCTATGTACATAGAAAAAAATAACAGTTCATATTCTTGATCAAATAGAATTTTTTTATAAAACCAGACTCAAGAGTGTGACAAAAATCAACTAAAAACAACAAAGATTCTTTTTTGACAAAAAGCTTTGATGAAACTAAATAGTGATCAGTTGTTTGGTTTTATAAAACAATTTGGAAAAGCAGAGCATGATTCTCATTAGAAAGTTACACATTCTCAGCTGTTGGAATCAAACCCAGAATATAGGGTTGTGTTTTAAGTAAGGGCTGTAACTGTCTGAGCTCAAGAAGTATTCCCTAGCTCAATAAATTATAATTTACGACTGGCTGAGTATCTACTACTCAAGGAAAGCAATACCGTCACATATAATTCGCAAAATCTGCTTTGTTAGTATATCATCATACATAAAATATATATCATGTATATAAAGTACTGTGTCGTGTGGGAAATTACTTTGAGCAATGGTGTACCATATGAGGAAACAAAGTAGTGCCAAGAGACAAGTTGTGTCAAATTTGATCATTTTAAAACTTGCCTTTCCTTCTGAAACATGATGAAATGTGTTTTACGTTTTTTTTTTACATTTGCATGACAATTGGCATGTAGGCCTATTGCAACATGGAGTAACATTTTGGGAGTGTTGTTGTTTCAGTTTCACCTAGTTTTTTACCGTGTAGGATGTCCCACTGTCGTCCTTTAATGCTGAAGTATCTGGGATTGAAAAATGCATAGTTAAAATAAGGTCAAGACATTCAAGAGACAGTTTTTACACGTTTTCCTTGCAGAACAAAATATTGAATCCTCCCCTTTGACATCTTTCTGGGAAGTTTAAATCATTAAGACGCTTAATAAAAAGCTCTTTGGTATCAAACATTTTTGTGACGTTGCTGTCATGCGGAACATTTTCTCGGATTGCCTTTGGAGTTTCCTTTCAACCTGTCTAATCAGCGAGCAGTAGCTTTTCTGCCGGTCGTCATCCAGTTTAAGTAAAAATAAGCATAATGCCACCTGTTACTGAGAATCCAAATCCAAAGGGGATAAATGCAGTTCTTCTAGGTCCACCTGGAGCGGGAAAGGGAACACAGGTGACCCTTAGACCCTTATTTTACAAGATACACGTGTACAAGTTATAGGTTTTTGTCAAGATCTATCACCGAAGACCCACATTTTGACCCATTTGTCTGCTCTTTTTTTTCGTTATGATTGACAATACATACTAAATAACTACGTGTTTTCAAACTTTGTATATGTTATCAAAAAATGCTGATATGTGACCAGATAATTAGGTCACCTTCATATTCACTGAGGTCAAAGTTTGCTAGTAGTAGTACAGATACATGTACCACATTTCGATACCAAGACATTCCAGCACTCTGTTCAAAGAAAACTCTAAACTCTTTCGAACATTTCAGTGTCATGACATTTCTGGACCATGACAAAATAGCTGTAAATAGGTTATTGTTCTGAAAATTCCAAGCCATATTGAGTAAAATAAATAAAATCATTCACCATCTTGTGGCTACATATACCAAACAGATTTGCTTATCCAATCCGACACAAGAACAAGATAACATTCACACAATCATTCTTACAGAACACTTAGGGGCACTAAAGATTCATATAAATATTCATTTTATCCAACATTGTCCAAGAACAATATTACATCGGAACCTTATACTGAGTGTACGTATTTAGCAGCTACAGTAAAATGTACCAGCATACCACATATTCTTATTTTTATATATACATGACTGTTTCCAAGAACAGATTTCAATCCAAGAACAGATTCCAATATCTGTTCTCAACAAACATCTATATATCTAAATAAATTTTCACTGTATATAGTTTTAACCAAAGTGTATAGTACAAAACAGAATAAAATAAGAAATTACTTGGAAAGTTTTTTTGTACATATATATATTTAATATGTTTAACTGTAAATAGAAATTACAGATCCGATGCATGTGCTGCATAGGAACATCAGAGCGCGGCACATAATCATCAATATGTTGGAGTGCTAAACTTCAAAGAAGATCATGAAGATAAAGCCCCAAAACTTCATGAAATGGACAGACCCATTGGTGGCCTTCGGCTGTTGTCTGCTCTATGGTCGGGTTGTTGTCTCTTTGACACATTCCCCATTTCCATTCTCAATTTTAGAACTGTAGAATATGCTGTTTCCTTTGCTCAAAATATCCTAGTGAGAACCCTGCACGATACATGTAATAAAATTTAATATTCAGGAAGATATGTGCACATACTCAATTTGCTAAGGTATTATGGGATATACAAAAATGGAAGATTATTTGAATACTTTTTCAAAGAGTTTGTTTTCTCATATTTTTAAACCAGGGCCTTTCATAGCTTACCATATGGTATGGGTTTTAAAAGGCTGTATATATATGGTGATCTACAATTGTTGACATCCTATTACTTTAGTCTCTGGCCATGATTGACAGTTGTCTCTATGGCAATGATTCCACATCTCCTTATTAGTCCCCTATCGACGAAGTCCAAGGGGACTTGTAAGGAGATGTGGAATCATTGACGAAGTCCAAGGGGACTTTAGGTTTGCACTCCGTCCGTCTGTCCATCTGTCCATCTGTCAGTCCGGCAAATCAGCTTTCCACACTTTTTTTCTTTGCTCTTGAAGATATTGATTTGATATTTGGTATATAGTTTTATCATGACAAGTTATAGATCAAGTTCGAATTTTGTTCCCGTCTGATGTTAAGTCCAGAGTTATGGACCATAACTCTGGACCGTATCTAATGTTAAAGTACAAGAGTTATATAAAACCATATTTCTGTACAAAGGGAGATAACTCATTTTTTAAAAGACATTCTTTGTTAAATTATTTGAAAAATTTTTTGGCAGGTTTGTTGGTTATTTAGTATAAACTAATTTTCTGAATGCTATATATATAAAAAAAAAATTATGAAAAGAAATCCTTTAATTAGATAATAATCTATTTTATTAATGTATATATTTTAATACATTACATTGTGTAGAGAAAAGTTGTTGGCATTTTATAGATAAGTTACAAATCTATATTAGTTTGTGACAAATGAAAGAAAAAATATTTGGAACTATTAATTATATTTTTTTATAATTTGAAAATAGATATACACTGTATTAAATCATATCTAATTTTAGAGAACTATTAATCATATCTAATGTTTTTTTCACTCATAATCAGTTTTCCACACTGTTTTTAGTCATGCTTGAAGATATTGACATGATATTTACTTTTTGTTTACACCATGACAAGTTATAGAACAAGTTAGCATTTTGTTCCAGTAAAATGAAGTTTTACCCGGTAGGGGACTATGTATTGCCATGCAATACTCTCAGAATGTTTGTTTTTATGATGTGATTTGTTTTTCAGGCTCCAATGATGGCAGAAAAGTACTGTGTGTGTCATTTATCAACAGGTAAGGCCATTTCAAATGATTTCAATTGTTATATTCTCTTACTCCTTCATAAAAATTGGAGAGGCCACTAGGTTTATTTTTAATTTCATAGTGTTATGCTAGCTATAGGCTTCTACTAAACGAGGAAGGAAGGATGAGAAATGACCTTACATGGCAGATGCAAATTGTGTAATTTTGTAACTGGTGCAGGAGGGGGTCAAAGTCAACACCTGCCTAGATGTGTAGTGGCCAATACATTGTCCCTATTTGATAATTGTGATACATGTACCTGATATCAGATTTTTGGCTGCACAGATCTAGACATCAATCAAATAGACCTCAATATATATAATTTACAAATGTATGATAATTAAAAGAGTTAAATCATACCATAATAATACCAATGTAGTTGTTGATTGTTAACTTGGGTGATTCTGGCCTTTAGTGTTTCCCCTATCACACAAAAAGGGCATGGTAACTTAATTGAAAAAGGGAATCTAGAGCGAGCAAAAATTTATAAAAAGGGCACCTACAGTGCATGAAAAATAAAAAAAAGGGCACCTACCGTATGCTGAAAACAAGAAAGGCAATAAATTGTCATATTGCATTGGTAAAGTATGGACTGGCAGTTGTTGATGGTTTGATTGATTGTTGGTTGCTTAACGTCCAGTGGCAGTAGTTGTTGATGGAATTAGAACTCAAGATAGCAAGTGTATTGTTTCAAAACAATATTGTATATGCATCTTTAAATAAAGATGAAAATCAACATTATTCCGGGTAACAGCAAGGGACCAAGGATGTATGTATATTACTAGTTAGTCTAGCTATACATCTTTGTCAGACTTTGAAGGACTAATGCATAAATTTACTGCGCAGCAATTACATGATTTGACTGATGTGGCACTTAAATATGAAGATTAGGATATAAGATCTGAAAATCTAGTTCAAAATTTCACGTCAGTTAGTTTCAGGGGACAGTTCTGATCAACAAAAGTTGGGCCCTTTTTTTAAACCAGGATTCACAGTATAAATGAACTTGTAGAACTTTGTAAGACTATTACACTGCATAATCATTATCCTTATAAAACGTTTAGATCGATATTTAGAATTCATTTCTATAAAGTTGGAACCAAGGATTTGTACAAATTCTTATTGGAACGATTCTAATAACTGTAAATTGTAAATTAATCGAGAATTGATCACGTTAACTTTCGATTTACAAATGAAATGTAAATGGGAAGTGACAAGTAGATAATAAATTCAGAATGAATCCGGAATCTTACTGTGTGAAACAACATCACAAATAAGAACATCTCTTATCGGCAAAATACTACACGAAGGTAGTCTGGTCTTAGCAAGAGAAAGCCTGCAAACTCCTATTGACTTAATAACATTAATAACTAACCCTTATTATTACCTCTCAAAGAAGATGTGCATGGATGTTGAAGACCGAGTCGGTAATCACTTGGTACCGCTATGTCGCCAACTATTATATACACTTCATTCCAAATGCTATGATGTGTTGACAAAAATTGATACAAAAGCAAACAGAAAATGAACAACTGTGAATTCATTTTAGTTATAATATATATATATATATATAAGTGGGGGTACACATGGATCTCCCTCTTTTAGTAGTTTTAAAGTCTATTCATTTTTTTACGGATTGCATAAACTTTCTTTTTTTTAACAGTGTTAAAAATATATAATTGTACTTTTGTCTTTATTGTTAACTTATTTTTAAAATTAAGTTTTACCATTTTAATTGCATTTGAAATATTTTTAACACTGTCGTGGCGTAAATATGTATATTAAATAAGATAACTTTATATACGAACTATTGTGAACCATAAATTGAATTGTGTATATACTGGTGGAGGAATCTCATTGACGGAACTACTTTCCTCTACATGGAGGTGTGCCTTGATTGGCAAAAATTCGTTTACAGATTACAGATTCGTTTATAAAAAAAAGGCAGTAAATTATCATTTTTTTTCATTTGATTTGCTTAGTAAGAACTATATTTGTCTCTCCTATTTATTTTAAACTAAATTTATTTCGTATTTTACCTTTTTTGAGTCTATAAATTCATATACTTTCACGCATGCGCAGTTATTGTAAACAGTAAAGGAATCACTTGTATGACTCGTGAAAACTTTTCTAAACGTTTTGAATAAAGTTCTATCTTTATAACTGAAATTGAACGTTTTATACCAAAGATCACTAAAAAAATACGATCATTTGACGAAACTATGACAAAAGAACTGCAAATTGTGCTTGTTTTAGAAATATTGAAATAAAAAGCGAACTGTCTGGGGGAAACAATTTTTTCAAATGACGAAACTACGACAAACGAACTGCAAATTGTGGTGGTTGGCCTTGAGAAATATTGAAATTAAAATGCCAACTGACTGATTTTACTGGGGAAAGTTATTATGGTGGTCAACTATGAGATTTATTAATCATTAAAGGATTAGTGACCCATCCGATGGCGATAAGCGGATTAACTGTAATCACAACTTTATAACATCTGTTGTAAATGTTAATTAGCTGAGGGTCATAAACTTGCCAGAAACATGAAGACAGGAAGAAAGGACATTTTTTGAGACAATGCAGTCACCCAAAGAAGTGAAAAAGGGCATGGCGTCATTTATTAAGACAAAAAAAGGCCATGGCGTCCTTTAAATAGGGCATGGTGTCTATCCATGCTAAACATGCTTGGGGGAAACACTAGGCCTTCCTGCTAGCTGCTTAGAGCCAAAGTTATCTTGAGTGTAATTATAATCTACCAATTACAGTGAGAAATAGCCATATGAGTTAAGCCTCTTTCAACTAGTTCGTTCTTATGTTGTACTGTTACACCACAGTCCCATGTTAGGTGAAGGGTTGGGATCCCGCTAACATGTTTAACCCCGCCACATTCTGTATGTATGTGCCTGTCCCAAGTCAGGAGCCTGTAATTCAGTGGTTGTCGTTTGTTTATGTGTTACATATTTGTTATTCGTTCATTTTTTGTACATAAATTAGGCCGTTAGTTTTCTCGTTTGAATTGTTTTACATTGTCATTTCGGGGCCTTTTATAACTGACTGTGGGCGGTATGGGCTTTTCTCATTGTTGAAGGCCGTACGGTGAACTATAGTTGTTAATTTCTGTGTCATTTGGTCTCTTTTGAAGAGTTGTCTCATTGGCAATCATACCACATCTTCTTTTTTATATATTTAGAGGGTACATGTATAAGTAGGATGACAGCATAAGTGGAGACTCATACACTTGTTCATTGGGTTCTCCTCACTGCAGCAACTCCTGATCAAGTTTAAGATAAAAACAATTTATCACTTTTTAAGATATATTAATTTATACAGTAAATAAGGAATTTTAAATAAACAAATATTCATGAAATGTTAAAGTACCGGGTAATATGAAATTTAAATACTTTAGCAGTTAAATTGAATACTTGCCATTTCTTGAGGCATTTTTCTAGACCACTGAAAAATTTGTTGTGGATATTCAAGATCTTCAAAAGCCATAATGGCATTAAAACACATTTGCAACTTTTCTATACTTAAAATATCTGCCACTGCCTGGATTTAAAGAAAACAATAAATCAATATTGAATACAATATATCTTCTGTATGGAATGTCAGACAAACTTAAGTATTGATTTTAATAGGGTTAATTTCTATAAGGTAATATACTATGTATTATCTTTATTACATGTATTAAAATAATGTAATATTATTACAGGTGTCAATTCAAGCCTGATGTTCCCAAGTCCTTTAAATCTGTAAAAAATATTATTTTTAGCTTTTAACATGTCAAAATTTTTCGCCTTACTCCCCTAGGCAGAATTACTAGGGTCACCCACTACCAAATAATATGAACATGATGAATTATGTCTAAAAATAAAAAAATCTTTGCAAGAAAAATATTCTTGTAATATATATGCTACTTATTACATTAGTTGCAATGAAATACCAGGATTTTCCAGTGAAATAAAAACTTAGATAATTTCACGTGAAATAAATTTGATTATTCACTCCTCTGATGTCAAACAGCAATGTGTGTTGTAAAGATGTTGGTGATTACTTTGCATCAAAAAAAAGATTGACAATTAGTAGATTCAACTCAAGACTGAACAACCTTAATTAATAAATAACTCATGCACTACTCGCGTTCATGAATTAATGTCAAAATGAATGTGTTGTTTGGTGACTCATTGAATATTTTTTCTTTCTTTGAATTTTTGGATTAGTTATTCTATAAATATTGGTTAGGCCAACCTTAACAAATTCTTTGTTTGATGTTGCCTTCCCATGCATTATAGGGTTAGGTAGGTAGGTAGGGATTTTTTTTTTACCATCAACATAAGTTACATGTTTTAGACAAGAAAACAATGTTTGAGCACGAAAAAAACTTTGAAAAAAAAATTTGAAACGATTTGTGTCATAAATTTTTTCGAGAAGGCTGCTTTTTAGGTGGGTAGGTAGGCAATATTAAACAATTTCATTTTTTTTGTTGGCGTTACATGTACTTTTATTTACTTAAGGTGATATGTTACGAGCTGTTGTTGCCTCTGGTTCAGAGCTGGGAAAGAGATGTAAAGACGTGATGGACAAAGGCCAGTTAGTCAGTGACGACTTGGTTGTAGAACTGATTGATGAAAATTTAGGGAAACCCATGTGTAGGAATGGCTTTCTATTAGATGGCTTTCCCAGGACTGTCAAACAAGCTGAAGCTGTAAGTAGGAAGTTATATATACCATCTAGTTCTCTAGAGTTTTGCGATTAAAAAATTAATTTGAATATAAATTCTGGGGTCACCACACTTCAGAATTTTAGGGAGAAGTGATTTTTCCCTGGCAGCCAAACAGGGTTGGATGTGAAAATTTCTTAAACAATGTTAGATACACTAGTTTTAAATTTTAGCAATATGATATACTGCTTGGGACAATATTCCTCCAACATAAGTGCAATAACCCTATTGTCGTCAATTATGAGTCTTTTGTAGACGGAACACGTGTCTGGCATACAAAATTTTAATTCTGGTATCTATGATGAGTTTACCTATAATACACATTCATCACAGTGTATCACAGACTACTATCTGTGGACAATTAGATCCGTACACCTGCTTCAACACTAGATTTGATTGGGGGATTCCTATACATGCTATATAACCTCAAAGAACTGTTTTTTTTGGGGGGGGGGGGGGGGTGTCCATATCTATTCTGTTTGGCTGAATAGACATTTTTTGTTGAAATGTGCATCTCATGCAAAAAAAAAATGGTACTGTTAATGTTAAGAAACTTATTTTTTTTTATTTGAGGTAACCAATTTATACATTGTATATATTATTTATTTGAATTGTAGTTAGACAACTTACTAGTAAAGAGGCAAACCAAGTTAGATGCCTGTGTGGAATTTGCTATAGATGATTCACTGCTGGTTAGAAGAATTACAGGACGTCTGTTTCACATGAAGAGTGGCAGGTCTTACCATGTGGAATTCAACCCACCAAAGTTCCCAATGAAGGATGATGTAGGTTGACACCACAATTATTGAACTTTGGATGTAACACGTCTTCTGATTGGTTGAAATATTTTTGTTATCAGCTCATAGACATAATTTTGTCATGTTACCATGAGGTCATCAACGTTTTTTCATGCTTTACTCCTTAGAAATGGAATTTATAATAAAATTATAAGGAATGACTGTAATAATTTTTCTGTCTTCAAAATAACCTCAAAAATGTGGTACACACTTTTGAATAACCTGCTACACGGTTTATTTAGTGTGCTTCTCATGTTTAATGTTATTTCTTCATAGACAGAAAAAATATTACAGTCATTCCTTTAATAGACCGGCAAAAATATTTTACAAACAAATGTATTGTTTTCTGTGTGCTAAGAGTTTTAACCGTACAAGTGTTACATATACATGTTTTGCAATTAATGTAGAGACCTTCCTGTTTTAAGTAAGTTCAAAATTAATCAGAGCTACTAAAGAATTGCTTTATATCCTTCACGAGAGGGATGCATGACATCTTTGATTTTAAAATAGTGTTCATGTTATAAAGATCAGCATCAATGTGTCGTCCAGCATTTGTGTTTTGAGCCTATGATTTAAAAAGGAAGATTTCAAATCAGTTCAAAAATCTGTTGAACATATTAAAAATTGAACAACTTGTTTCATTGAATCAGGCAATTAACCTGCCAACAAAGACTCTGTTTCCCTACTTTCCGTTTGACACTGACCTTTGAAACTAAATTTTAGACAATGTCTTTGTAGTTTCTGCTGTTTTATTTAAAAAAAACAACACTATTTTTACCTGAGGTCTGCAAACAAAGTATAGTGTTTGGCCTTTGGACTTTTGAATTTTGCAAAAACAAATTCAACATTGTTGATAAAACTCATTATTTCAAAATGTATTTTATGTCTAATTTATAAATATATGAAGATACCGTATTGCAGGTTTTTTTCGCGGGTGTAAAATTTCGCGATTTAGGGGCAACAAAGTATGCGAAAAATTTTGGCGGTTTTTATTTTGGTGGATTCTTAACTACCAATTAAATATTTTGGCGGATACCGAAATGGTTGTAGCTAAAAAGTTGTAAAAATTGACAAACAAGTGTCTATTGTTATTGTTAAATGATTGTTTTGCTGGCATGACGTCTTATTTATTGATTATATATTGATACAGTTAATCAATAGAATACAGGTGTACACATTTCTTGTAAATATTACGGTTGATTAGTTACGAAATTGATTGGACCTTTGATGTACTAATTAGTTTTAAAATAACCAAGAGTGACTTGCAACTCTTAAATATAATTTGACACTAATTGATAAAGGTAAATCTCTGACAGAGTGCCTTACACTTATATTATTTGACACTAATAAACTAATTAACACCTATTAGCCATTTTATAAAATATATGTAATACTACGTATAATGCCCTTTGGCATTTGTGTTGTTAAAACTAACATAAACCGTTATTGACCCGCCGAACGGAAAAATACATCGCGCTGCAGCTATTGGAAAGTATTGTACGTATGCATAAATTTTAGAGGAATTTATTTTCGCGATTTTCCTTTATTCGCCAAAATAAGCGAAAATAAACACCCTGCGAAAATAACTCGCTATACGGTATGGTATAATTGCCAGTGAGACAAGTCGCCACCAGAGACCAATGGAATATGAAGACAGCTGTGTCACAAGCAAAAAGCCCTAATTGGAAAATATAAGAGCATACACTACAGGCACGGGGACACATTCTACTGCATCCACACAGCACTTGTATGCTGTCAACTAAAAAATCGATTTGCATCAGAAACATTCTTGTAAAACTAACATCCAGAAACAAAAGAAGCAAAAAAAAATTCTGAGCAAAATAAAAAAAGAAGTAATTGGAAATTTCAGAGCAGCGTTTTAAAAGGTTTGTGTTGCCTTATTGGAACCTTTTCTATTACAAAAACTGCAGTGCAATTATCTTTTGTTAACACAAAATTTTTATTCCCTAGATGACAGGTGAACCACTTATAAGACGCTCTGACGATAATGAAGAAGCACTGAAGAAAAGATTAGAGGCTTACCATAACCAGACAAAACCATTAGTGGATTATTACGCTAAAAAAGGTATCCACACAGCCGTTGATGCCTCCAAACCACCTAGTGAAGTTTTTGCTGCAATAAAAGAAATTTTTGCACCAAAAGTACTAACAAAGGACAGTCCAGAGGGTAAAGGAATGTTTGGAAAATTAAGAAGTATGGCTGGGAAATAACATTTACAAATTACATTAGACAATAAAGTACAATAAAGTTGATTTAGTTAAAAATCAAATTTTGACTGATTTTTTTTTACAGTGAATGCTGGCGGTTGTAAGTGATTCATTCTAAAGACCTGTCTGCAAATTGCTTAGGTAATATTTGACAGGGTCATAAATCATTGTTATCAATTTCAATCACTAGCAATCACCCTGATTCACTGTGAATTACTCAACACCAGCAATAGTAATTTTTTAACTCAATCGCCTGAAGTGTGTACTGTAGTTAAGTTTTCAGTCCTCTTATAATAAACGATAGGAGTGTGCACTAACTGTTACAAAAGTAGAAATTTATACAAAAATGAACAATGATCAATAATACTTTGTGTGTGAATATTGTTACATGATTAAATAGCTGTATTCTTGAACAGTCTTTTAATTTGAGTTTATAAATTATAGAATTTTCTAATTATAATCATCTTTCATAACTTTTTGAAAAAAAGATATATGATTAAAATTACTATGAATTTGATATTTTATTTTGAATTTTAAAGGTGATATGGCCTCAGTTAGTCGTTATCAAAGAATACACCTTATTGCTATTTAGTACCATTCTGAAAAATAAATAGAGTTACTTAGACAACCTGCTGCTGGGGTCTATTGTTGCAAAAAAAGTCATTACTATAATTCAGTTGAGGGGGGAAAACATTTAAAAAGCAAACATTTTAAAATTGTGTTATTATAGGTAGATATTTTTTAAAGACAAATTAAAGTCAAATAAATGCTTTGTTTGGAGTGTTTACAATGGTTAAAAAACCTCTTTTTGAAAACTTTTATGCACAATATATTGTTTAAACACGGCCCCAGTTAGCTTCAACTATGAAAAAAAAAATATGTAATTTCCGAACTTATCCGGATTGGAATAAATAGCAATAAAGATTGTAAGACTTGACAAATCATTACCATATTAAAGTACTTGAGCTTTATTCTCCTTTATGGGAAATGATAGTATGGATATTTCAGAACTTTAAATGTCAGATTAGAACTGAATGATAAGCATTTTCTAAGTTAATACATGTACATGTACGTTTAAAATCATTGTATAAAATCTAATGGCAACATGGCAATCTAATGTGAGATCATGTTAATACTTTCCAGTACTGCAGTATGAGGTTATTTGTTTCCTAAAGGATGTTAGCTACTCTGTTTCAAAATAACAAGCTTTTTAAAAGACTGTTCTAAAATGATACTATATAAATAAAGGAATAAAAAAAGAAGAAAAAATAAGGTGTCCATGTGCATGTTTTCGAGATATAAACCAGTGAAAAGTTTGGCGGGAAATAATTCTCTCTAGATTTTTCATACTTTTAACATTGGCTGCTTTTCTGTTTCAAAAACTATGAAAAATAACAAGGATTTTATAAGATTTTCTAATCTGGCTTTTTAAACTACCGGGTATGTAATAAAATTATGAAAAGAAAAGTAGGGGTTAGTGGGCAAATATTTTTAATGGCAATAAATGGATAAAATCAGAGGATTCCGAAAATCTGGCAGAAATTCAAAAACAAGAGGAGCAAACATCCTTAAAATTTCTTGCCTAATTCAATCCTTACTTTAAAATGCATATCATTTTTTTTTATTATGTTTTGCAGTATTGTAGGATATTTGTTATATTAAGATCAAATTTACACACAATTAATTACAATTTGTATATTATTAGGTAATTAAGTTTCTAATTACTAAATTATAAAAATGAACAATGTTTTTTTTCTCACTTTTACAGAATATGCTATTTTAAGTATGAGTAAAATAAGGTGTATGTCAATTAGACAGCAACCCAACAACTCAGAAAAACTGGGAATTTTCAGTTTTTATTTCATCTTAAGGGACTCTGTGTATATGATGGTACCATATTACCTCAAAGGAACACTTCTTTAGAGTAATTTTATTAGCTCTTAGTAAAAAGTCAACTGCTTTTATTTGCATTGTTTTTAAGATCATTTATTTTGATTTGTTTAAACAATGACAACTTGATATGCTGTGGTTGTAACATATTTCCTCAAAAGGAACACTTCTTCAGGGTTGTTTTTATGCACTATCCATTCATTTTATTGTTGTGAGAGTCATCCAGTATAACAAGAACTGATTGTAAAAAATTTATATGTTGACATTTGAGACTACGCATGAAAGATGCAACTATGCATCAAAATAAATATATGGAGTACTTTAAACTAAAATAGTTTTTCCAGTGTTTACTTGTATTTATGCCATTATGGCTTTTCTGACTTTATCAAAATGCTGGATTTGGTGTTTCAAGAACAAATTTTGTACTCCGAGTACTGAGTAAAGTTTTATGCCCAAGAGCTCAGGTGTGGAATTGTTTTGAGTAGGTAAGATTCCTGATAGCCCACAGATTTTCTTTGACAGAATTGCATTGGTTCCCCCCACATTCCAAATATGTAAAATTAGGTTTGTTTATTCATTTCATGAATGGGTTGTTTGCTGCCAAAGTATAAATGTTCATCCTCATCAATATTTATTTTTATGCCCCACCTACGATAGTAGAGGAGCATAATGTTTTTCGGTCCGTGCGTCTGTTCGTTCGTTCTTCTGTTTGTTCGTCCGTCCGTCCGTACCTCTGTCTGTCCCGCTTTAGGTTAAAGTTTTTGGTCAAGGTAGTTTTTGATGAAGTTGATGTCCAATCAACTTGAAACTTAGTACACACTTTCCCTATGATATGATCTTTCTAATTTTAATGCTAAATGAAAGTTTTGACCCCAATTTCACGGTCCACTAAACATAGAAAATGATAGTGCGAGGGGGGCATCCATGTACTATGGGCACATTCCTGTTTTTAATATTCTATTTCAAGATGATTCTGAATTTACCTAGACATCACATAGTAATAAATAAAATGTTGTTGAGTCATCATGAACTTATGCCAAATGAATGATTTCTAACATTTTTTGAACAAATGGATAATTTTTCCTAAAACAAATTGTTAATTTTTCTTTTCAAATTTTAGAGAAATACTTGAACTGCAGTTCTCTCTGTATAAATGATTTATTCCAGACTTTATATTTCATAATGCTGCTAATTAAATCTTTAGCATTGTATTATATACCTAATAAGTAATAAAATATTTTTGGGTACAACCTTTTTGCTGTTTTTCTTGTTTTTTGTTTCTATTAAATGCGAGTTCTTAATATTGCGATACTCACCCAGTCGCATTTTTCCCATTAATAAAAACCTCGCAATAATTTCTGAATTTACAGTATTGACAGGATATTATGATTCGGTTTTATTTTTTAACTTTAAATGTTGGCCTTGATATACTTCTGCAACAGTTTTTCATTGCAACTCCTCTGAAACAACACAACAGAATGTTGTGAAACTTTGTAGTTAATGAGGACATAATATGTAGATTAGATATGCATATCTTCAAGAATTTTTATCAGTTGACTTTTATGTGAGTTACGAGATTTGGAACTTAGGTGTCTGGTGAGATTTTGTTTGCCTAGTGACAATGTTTGGGTGGGGGGATGGGGTATGTGAGCATGCTCACAAATGTTCTTTCATTTAACTGTAAAATGACCTTTCCCTCTCCTGACTTTAATTGTATGACCTGTGACATGTTATGAAGAGATATAGTGAGTGATCCTACATTACCTTCATCACTAACTTTGACAAAATTCAATGGAATTGCATGAAACTAGGAAAAAATTCTTCATGATAAAGAATAGTATATAGAGCAAAATATTAAATGAGTCTTTTACCAATTATTCTCTATTTTACCGTAATTTATTGTCTATTTTACTGTAATTTAGACTTATTTTTGGACAAATTATTAGAAGCAGTTGAAGGTCAAAATTTTAAAACATCATTAACCTTTTTAAATATTCGTGGAATTAAGATAAAACTTGGATAGAAACTTTTTCATAATCAAGAGAGTATGTTAGTAAATAAATAGTTTATTATAGTGTCACAATCTAATATGCACTACCCTAAACAATATAAAAATATTTAAAATCATATAATCATAAACAGCCCTGAAATTTTTTTTTAATTGATTTTCTGTATTTTACTGATAAATGGACTTGTTAGATCAAAGGGCCAAGTGAGCTTTTCTCATCACTTGTCTGCCATTTTCTTCGTTGTTAACTTTTACCAAAAATCTTCTTCTCTGAAACTACGGGGCCAAATTTATTCAAACATGGTCAAAATCATCATTGCATCACTAGTTTAAAAAATGTGTCCGATGACCCTGCCTGTCAACCAAGATGGCCGACAAGTTTTGTCTATTATTTTGAAAATCGTTATAAATAGAGATAATCTGACGAGGACAAAAATTTTCAGAATGTTGAGCTCTACCAATTGTTCATCTACACCAAAACTGTCAGACGACTTCTGACAGGAGTTATTGCTCTTAAATGACAAATTTTACCATTTATTTTCATTTTTGCCTATTATCTTGAAAACTATAATAGATAGGGAGAAACTTCAAAGTGCAAAAATTATCAGCAAAACAAGTTCTACTAGTAAGTCCATTGTCGAAATCGTCAGAGGGCTCCTTATTAGAGTTATTGCCCTTTGATGACGATTTTTATCAATTTTTTTGCGTTTTTGTCTTTATATCTTAAAAATTATAACAGATAGATAGAAACTCAAATTAGCAAAAATGATCAACAAGACAAGATCTACAATTGAGACAATATGGAGGAAACCATACGACGATTCCTTATTGGAGTTGATGCCCTTTTATGACAATTGTTTCCATTTTTTTGCATATTGCTTTATATGATAAAAATTATAATAGATAAATCGAAACTTTCAATCACAAAAATGATCAGCAAGGCAAGATCTACTAACAAGTCAATTTTTGCTGATATATTTGGTAGACTGTCACTCTCTATAGGAGTGATTGTCATTAAATGAGGATTATTTTACCCTCTTTTGTGTTTAATGCAAAAACTAAAGAAGATGGAGAGAAACTAAACAGACTAAATGATCAGCAATACGAGATCAATAAAACAGATTTTTTTCGTGAATTCTATTCTTGTCTTCAAAAACAGAAAGTGGACAGATTAGCTACTAAATCTATACACACTGACGTATAGTTCCCAATTGTTATTATGTCTGTGTACACATGCACAAATAAGCTTTAAAAAAAGATTGGTTACATCTTAATTTAGAGTATCTTTTCAAAGATAATAGTCATTACTCTTTTCAATTACTGGCTAGTTTTGTCTTTTTGCTGAAGTAAAGTGTATTGATACATTACCTGTATGATTGACAACTGTCATGATCAAGGTACAATTAAACACAAAGGGTGGGACAATAATTGGAATTCTATATAGACTTCTACTCCTTAATGCAAATCATAATTGACCAAATGACATAACTTGAGTTTATATATAACATGGCAGACCACTCAATACACAAACTTTGACCTCATTAGTATCAGATATAATTTGATCTATATAGGTCAGTCTCTGTCTTCATCTTTAATTGATATTAACATAAATGTTAAAGAGGGATTTCTTTAATGAAATTATATACTGATGTTTACCTATATATATCTTTTGATTTACACTGCATTAAACAAACAATCTGTAAATTTTGTTTGAAAGATGATTTAGTAAGGATTAATACAATATGTATTTTTTTTAGAAAAGGCCAAAACGAAAATCTGTATGAGTAAAAAATCCAAGTTGTGTCTGTTTTTCTTGCAAAATCTGTGCAACAGTTATCTGTAACTAATCCACAATTTTAATAGGTTACATTTATCAGTGAAAGTATTTGTATATTCTTATACAGGAAGTGTATGTATTTTTGCAATGCAATATATAAGAATTTGCCTTAAAAATGAAAATTCTACATCTTTGGACAATTGAATAAAAACATCATATTAAGTTTATTGATGTGAAAATTACCCTTTGTCAACCATGCATCTGCAATGTCATACATTATTGTTTTAATCAAAATCAATAAGCTATACTTAGGAATGTTTGAACACAGAGTCACAGACATGCCCACAAAACAACCATTCACCGGTTTATTTTGGGAGGAAAAATAAAGGCAACAGTAGTATACCGCTATTCGAAATTCATAAATCGATTGAGAAAAAAACAAATCCGGGTTACAAACTAAAACTGAGGGAAACACATCAAATATAAGAGGAGAACAACGACACAACAGAAACTCAACACTAAAATGCAACACACACAGAAACGAACTATAATATAACAATGGCCATTTTCCTGACTTGGTACAGGACATTTTAAGAAAAAATGGTGGGTTGAACCCGGTTTTGTGGCTAGGCAAACCTCCTGCTTTTATGGCAATGTTAAATATAACATTAAAATGACAAGATTACATGACAGGACTACAAATCAAATAAATGGGAGAACATACAGGACAGAGACACACACAAATAATAGCCATCAAAAGGTACCAGGCTTATAAACTTAAAAAAACGGACTTTAAGTTTCAAGTCTCTTTAACCATTGGTCCCAGGTTTACTGAAACACTACAATGATAATTTTTTTTATTAGGTAATTTCTTGTTTAAAAAAATATAAATATTAAGTTGCAATTTAAAAGATGTTATTATGCAAATTTAGTGACCTACTGACATAACTCTTTTAAGCTATTTTGTTCACTAAAAAAATTGCTTATCTTTCTAGAAAATCTGCAGTAATATAACTAACAAATATGCAAAAGTGCATTAGCAAGTTTTTGTTGTCCACCACGACTGCTATGGATGAGTTAAATATGATTGAAATTATGTTCCAATCTTTCCATTAGTGATTTTAGGTCCCTTTGATTTTGGTCGTCGCTTATTTTCCGGAAAAGCAGGAAATATCAATTTTGACGCATTTCATTTGACTTAATAGATCAAACTTATGACTTTTGTCATGCTAGTCGATCACATTACACGACCATGGTTACTTCAGTTAAAAATTATCCAAATAAGAATTATAACAGCCTTTTCTTGAGATTTATTTCGCCTTTTTGTTTTGTATGTTCACTGGCGTACAGTTGATACCGCAATACATGAAAAGTAATATAAAAACTAAATTAATCTGTACAGTGGCAAATCAACATGGTAGGAACTATTTATTGCAGCAAGGAAACACATTTCTAAACAATATGCCAAGTTCAGATTTAAATTTGTTGTCAAGGAACCAATAAACAATTGGATTACTCATACTTGAAATAAGATTCGTTCTTAGTAAAAATGCGTAAATTACTAATTGTGCTTCAGACAAATTTTTCCAGATTTCACTATTAAGACTGCTTATGATTTCAGTTGTAAGATAAGGCAAAAAACTAATAATAAATACAGAAGTAATAACAAATAACATAATTGTAACACGTAATCGTTCCGTAATTTTCCGCGTTTCTAAATCTGTGTTGGTAGCTTTTATAGGATAAGGTAACGATTGGCATATTCCCACTTTGACTGAAGTCGTTTTTGATATTGAACTACACGAATCCTGATTATGAATATCTTTTGAGAATTCTCCTATATTTTGATTTTGTATTGATTTCTCAACAGTGGTATCACAATGTGCGTTTACCTTACCATTTGTCGACTCTTCAGATGAGTAAAAATGTCCTTCCTGAGTTTTCCCTTTTATAGGCCATTCTAATGTTTTTATCGTTGATATCTCCAGGAGTGTGCGAATGCTTAAACGTCCCTGCTGCTGTTTCAGATGCTGCGCTGCTTGTTTTGTGTTTCAATGCACGAAGTCTTAAAATCCGTCTACCAACAGGAAAGTACATTGATATCATAAATATAAGTAACATAATGAAAAGTAGGAAAATCATTCCGTCATAAATTTGATGAAAATGAGTCCCAGACAAATCTTGTCTAATAAAACATACCGTCCCTGTCAAGTTTGAAATTCCTGTTGCCTCTGATGTTGAACTGTAAAGTGCCAAACCAGAAGAAGCCAAAATTACTGCAACCGTTATTATTACAAAAGAGGCGGTTTTAATATGTGTCAGAGACAGCTGTCTTTCAAAAGGTCTGCAAATCTTTCTATATCGTTCGTATGCGATCACATTTACGATAAACGCTGAGGATATTGTGGTGAAATGAAGAAGGAAGCTCACGATCATACAAAAACCGTTCCAAACAAACATCAAAGGATA